GCTGCAAAATAGAAGCAGGAAAAAAAAAAAAATACTAGATCGATCGATGACCCAGCCTAGACGCCTTTTTGTCGCCTGTTCGATCTAGGCGGGCGGGGCGTGAAGCAGAAGAACGGGTTAATTTTTCAGCTGAGTGGTTGGGGGATTTAAAATGATCCAGAGACACTTTATATCTATATCCCCGTCTTCATCTTTCTAGACATTATCCCATACCTGTTGCTGACGTTGACGTTGCTGCCGCTGTTGCTGTCGACAATCCATTTACTCTCTCTCTATGTATGAATAGGGATGTCTCTTGAGCCGTTGAGGTCCAACGGCCTCCCTGATACGAAACCCTAATATCTAGTTAATCGCGAAGGGATTGCAATCCCTGGGCTGAGTTTCCTTTCAACGCGTTTGAGCAGGCATCAGAATAGCCAAGCATAAATAATTATTACATCCTACCCAACATCCAAAAGATCGTAGACTGTTAACAACAAACAACCACAACCACAACCACAACCACAACCACAACACGGTTTATCTCTCACTGCGGATAAAAAGATGATGGGTGACCCATGATGTAAGGGGAATGTCTTTTAACTTTACTCTAAACGCGACGAATCTCAAGCTCTCTCCTGTCAAATTGCCTCCCTCGCCTCTCTGGCGGTGTCCCTGTCCATCAAAGCAATGGGCAACAATAATCGCATCCATGGATCCCGATGATAAGGGGCTATATTATTAGGCCATATATATAGAAAACCCCCATATATGTTTCACCTTCTTACCTCCCTATCCGTGGGCTATCTTCATATTTTCTTTTTCTGTAAAAATACCGCCCTTTAGAGATCTGGACGGAATTAACTACCATTTTATAACTACTCTATCAGAACCGTGTGTGTTGTCAATCCCCATGCTCGTTAATGCCCCAAGCGTTTCCCAACATTTCTCTCCTTAGTCCCACACTTCGTTTCGCTACCACATGTTTCAGGATAACCTTATTTCAAACGGAACCTGTTCTTGTTAATTATTATTATTATTATTATTATTATTATTATTTTTTAATATCTCGGCTCACCGCATAAACTGCCCATCCAGAAAACACCAATGCTAAATGTATTTTCTTACAGGTTTGCGGTGTACGGAGTTCCGTATTGTCTTTTCCGTGGTTCTGGCTAACGTAGCAACACCTCAAGGGTTCTTTTGTTTCGAACTTTTAATGACTGCATCTTGCATTCAGAATCTCTGGAGATTATCATTTATCCCGAGAATCAGCCCCTCACACCGCCAAAAGTAATGTGGGGCTTTGTTATGATATCCGTTCGTCCTACCTGGCTAGGGCTGGTAGGCTACATAGCACACTTCGGTCACTTGGGAAACATGAGTCGGATCATCCGCAAACGATGAGATGGGACTAAAATCCGGAAACTATATGGTAAAAAGGGGAGGGGGGAAAGGTGGATGAAAACGAGAATGAAACTCGTATTCGCTGGCTTTCATTCAAATAAATCAATTTGGATCGATGTTGATGTTGTTTGGACTTGAGCTCCTCTCCAGTTCTTCTCCTCCATGGGAAATGGAAGCTGGCCTGTGGATCCTACCTTTTCGTTTTGAAATGTCTCGAAGTCATAAGTCTATCTTGAGAATACATCAAACCATTCTCGGTTAATTAGAAAGAAGCGGTATGGATGTGTCCATCTCTATTTCAAGATGAAAATTGACCCAATTGTATCTACACATTTACATATCCTGATTCGGTTTTCTCGGCAATGAATAATACCTAACTAATGGGCTATTGGTCTGTTTACTTTGAGGCGGAGAAGGTTTACCGTTAAAAGCTTGTTGTCAATTACTAGATGTTCTCAAGGTTCTCGGCTGAATAGAGCTAGTTTATAAGACCTTTGATGAAGATGGGACGGAAAATATAACCTCCAGCTTTCTTCTTGTCCCGGGCACTACTATATATCTTTGAGAGAGACATAATGAGAGAAGGGAGGAAGATAACAAGGCAATCACACGTTCCAACCCAGCCTCATATCTTTACTAATAGTCATATGTCCAGTGTCGCAGTTTAGCCCGGTCTTCTCAAGCAAAAGGAATACGACAAGAGCATCGTGACTTTCACTGTTATCAGCGAGAGCGAGGAGCGTAGATCTGTCTTCTCTGCTCCAAATACAATTCCCAGCCGCTCGTGATCGGAAAGTTAGGGTGAGAGTTCAGGAGATTAGGTCGTCCTCTGATAACTTTGATAGCAGGAAATAATTACGGAATATAGAGTTCTCAAATGTATTGGGCGATCAATTAAAATCGCTAATTTCACATGAGGTTGCATACCCTCATATCGGTGATGAAAAAAAGCAGTCATTTTAACACCATAGCCAACGCCGCTCTATTATATTGCATGACATTTGGACTGGATTCTCCGCTCCGGAGGAACGGAGTTGTTGCAACTCTCAATGGAACTGGAATGTTTTGGTTCTTGACATCAAAACAATCAGCTTGCAGGGCAGAATATTATAATTTCTCTCCGCTCCGCAAAGTAATGACCATTGAGGAATTCCAAGAGGAATTAGGATCCACTCGCCACAAATGGATTGTGCAAAGTTCCTAGCAATTGTGCATGACATGCATCAACCAAAACAGCCCTCGTTTTTCAAGTTAACTAGTTTACCAGTTAGCTAGTTATGTGAGATAACAAGCATTTTGGTGAACATGCCGCCGAAAAAAGAATGCCGCACTGCACAAATGGCACGGCAAGGGACCGATAAACGATAGGTTGTCTTTTAATCTGACGTCTCCTCTGGTGAAAGCTTCGTGGCTTGCATTGTTAGTTAGGGCGTTAGGAGGCATACTTTGCGGGAGATATTGAGATTCTATCAGTAACTAACCACTGACAAGGTACCCAGTTTGTCCAATTTTCGGAATCCCGAAACATGAGCCATTCTTTGGAAGAAAAGCAATACCTGATTTGGCGGGCTTTGGAGTTCATCTGATTCGATCTCGGCATTCATCCTTGACAGATATGATGTTATCTATTTCGTTTCCATGTGGATTTAGGCATGAATTGACTGAACGGGTTAGCACGGTGATGGGCTAGCGCAAGCCTGAAGCGTTAAGGTTCCAACGACGCCTTCCAGCCCAGGGGAGTGATCCTTCACCGGGAGCAAATATTAATGCTGGTGCAGAATTGAAACAAGTTGAATTCTGACAAGTTGACGGTAACGTCGGATGTAGATATAGGATATGCGATAAATATGCTCCTAGACAACTCCAGAGCAAACAACTCGCCATCTTGACCGTATGCTCTGCATGATAACAAAGTGGGGTGAGTAGTTGAGACTGTTAGCCAGTCAAGGCCGTTAAGAAAATGGGGCTCGTAATGTTTGTCTGTCCTCATTAGGAAATATTGTCGAGTTCAGAACATAGAAAGACTTGGGCCCGGGAGGATACCTACAAAGTCAATGGAGTATATAACGTAGGATTGAATCTGGATGCTGAAGACAGCATTCCATGGATCTGTCAATATAACAACATTAAAAAATTACAATGCGCAAGAAACAAACATGTGTCTTCCTAGACCTGACTTTGTGCATGGCTCCTTTGATGCACCAAAGCTGAGGATGTCCAGTTAAGCTCGTTTGGGTTTCGGGTTTCCTCGCCATTCTTGATATACACCATAGGCATTGGCAATAAGGACTGGTAGGATCGAGTTGTGGAGGAAGAGGAATGATTGGAGATATCCAGTGAAGGCAGCGTGGGATAGAGGTGAAGACGGCCACGGATGCAAATATGTTCAAGCCCTTTTTGTTACTAAGGCAACATTAGGATCCCCATCTGGGATACGGCCAATTCCGACTCCGCATTCCAGCGTTGTGAATGAGAGAAAAGTTGAACGTCTCATGGCACAAACTTATATTATTGGCCAAATGTTGCAAGACAGTCCTGAAAAGCCAGGCAATTTTCAACTAACCACTGCTGAAAAGCAACACGGACTCTGTTAACAAAGGAGACGAAATGATCTTCTGCAAATTCATGGGTACGACTCCCCCGTTCCACCAGAAGAGACTATGAAAGCACATATGACCTTGTCAAAAACGACCAAGTTCGCTCCATTGAAACAAGCTCCAGGTGGAATTCCAAAGCGTGCAATTCATTGCAGAGAAGAACCACTAGACAAGGTTTGTGAGCATGCAAATCACACATTACACATGCTACAGGAAGGAGGAGAATGAGATGATTAAGTTCTGGAACGAGACTCGTTTGGATCTTATTCTGTTCGTGCCATTGTTCTCTGGTTCTGATAAGCGAAGGCAAGGAATGTTAAGTCTGCAAACTCAAGGAATTCTCTTGCTTTCACTGGGGGCTAACGGAGGCGGATAAAGTCATTATTAGACGGGTGCAACAGGTGTCTGAGAAGATGGCCTGGAAGGTTGGGTTAAGTCACTCTGGAGTGGAGAAGTACAAGGGCTGCATCCATATAGTCGTGACCAGTGAGTGCACAGAGACCCAATGATGAGTTCGTTGTGCGGGACATGAGCCTGACGGACGCTGAGATGTGTAGAGGTCCTGTATACCTCAAAGCCTGGTAAGGGAAATTTCTGATTACAGTCGATAACTGCCGTCACAGATTCATGATGGTATGATGCTAAGCAGCATTTTGAAGTTTTATAATTTTGAAGAGTCTCAGTGGTTTGTCATTGTTACAGACCAGTTAGGTCCTTTGGAATCATTCCCACAACCATGTTAGCGGGCTGAAATCCTATGAGCTAACTAGTTATCTGGATTTCCATGGCGGGAATACGGAGAAGGACGCAACACTAACCGGGGTGCAGCAACCAGACCGGGCCCATTTTAACTAAGATAATTGCAGCCTTTACTTACTATTTATTTGTCGACAACTTGCTCCTGGCATGGTGGGGAACATGTGCTAAAGCATGGTCGATAGATGTCGACCTCCTTTAGCTGCTGGTCTTTCATTATTTGATCACTTTTCTTCTGTGTCTAGATATTTCAAATCGCCAATGCCGTTTCCAAGCCGCGGATGCCGCACTTGCAAGCGGAGGCGTGTGAAGGTGAGATTATTGGCATCCTTTTTAAATTATTGACAACGGATATTTCTGACAGTAGATTTCTCCAGTGTGATGAAGTACGTCCAATCTGCAGTCGATGTCAAAAAGCAAATCTCACATGCGAACAAGTTGAAAATAGCAACTTTATTTTTTTGAACGAAAACGAGTTCGTGATCGGTCGGCTCAAGCGCCCTCGCGGGCCCAATGTGAGTGCTAGATCCGAGTCCAAAGCTGGAGAGCGTGTCGAGAGTACTCCTTCAAAGAATAAAACGAAGGGCTTGCACGTCTCTTCTGACAATGCGGTTGAGGATCTTGTAAGACGGGCCCTCGAGCCACAGATAAATATTACACCGACTCATGAGGTTTCCTTGGACCAGTATGCCGTGTTTCATTACTACCGGAACTTCCTTCAGATGGAGCACATTATCCCTGGTATTGTAGACAGCCACTTGAAACACATCATGGCTGGTTGCTGCTTCTCTCAACCGCAATCTGTCCTCGGTCATGCGATATTCGCGGTTTCCTACGCTACATTTGCGCGGGCCGAGAAAAGTTATTCCGCCTTAACTCGGGGAGCGACCGCGTACTTGAGGGCCCTGATGAAAACGAAGATGTTGTTATGTAATGCCAGCTATGCAAAGGACGATGAGGTCCTCCTTGCTGTAATGCTTTTAAGCTTTTATGAGAACGCTGCGATGGACTCGCGCGCACCACCTGTTTCCGGTCTTGTTCTCCTAAATTTAGTTTCACGAAGCTTTGCGCACCATGATGGCGCTTTGGCCTTACTCGGCCTGCGACGGAAGCAAAACCAGCGAACCAAATGTGGTCTGGGGTTGGACAAAGTGGTCCGCCGGCAACTTTTGAGATCGCTACTCCTACGGAGCTCCGCTCCACCGTCATGGCTTGCGGATGGTGCCGAGTACGGAGAGGTCGGATCGTTGCTCGAACTGGATCGTTGTACGGTGGAAGTTTCGAAGATACGCGAGCGGGCAAAGAATCTACTTCTGCTTTCCCCAATATATTCACCAGTAGACTGGTACGGTAAAACGACGATTTTGAACCAACTTCTGGAAGATGCTTGGGCGACGGATGCTCTTTTGGTCTCCTGGACGAATAATCTGCCGATGCAGTATTTGTACAGCACCGTCGCAATACAGAACAACTGGTCCCACATCAAGCTTTTCGATCGCACTGCTGTTCACATATATCCCACTGTCGGCCAAGCAGCAATGTGGAACCGTTATCGTGCAATTCGCCTCGCTCTGAACGAGGTCATTCTAAAGATATTATCTATCCTAGACGAAATCACAAATTCTGTCGGCACAACTGAGTCCCTGGCAGCAGCTGTCAAACTGACAATCAAGCGGATGTCAGATGATCTCTGCAGAAGTGTGCCGTACATGTTAGGGATATTTGAAGCGATGGCTGCAGCTGGCCGTGACGCTGCTGTCATCACCAACGTTCCGGCTTCAAGGAGAATAACCGTAAAAGCTACCACGGGGGCACTTCTCTGCTGGCCGCTGGCTATGACGGCAATGATGTGCGCAATAATACCTGACAAAAACCTGCAATATCTAAGGGTTTGCATGCTGGAAGTAAGCGAGGTTGTCCATGACGGTGTGCTCGAAAGGATGGCAGCTGCTTTTCCGCAAGAACCTACTCCTGTGGGTGGGCGGTGATGCTTTTTTCATGGAAACTCCCGGCATTGTTGTTTGTTGTATTGGGTCTCCTCTGTATAAGTTAGTTACTGCTTTTTGCAACGGCTGTTCATATTCCCTTGGATGCAAATTTGTAAGAGGGGCTGTCAATATAAAATGGAAAACATATTTATCCCATCAATGCGGAACATGGTTGAACCTCATATTCTCCCGAGACGGTTCCTGATATATGCGCTGGGAAAGTATCAGTACTTCAGGCCCCCAAAAAGGGGCTGTTGCAAGGCTGGAGGAAGGGTGGGGATCACTGACTAAGCCACGGACTTCCCCGCATTCCGCATCCCTCCCAAACGCGGAGGCGGGCCACACTGCAGAGTTTCAACCCCCTCACTCTCCTCCAATTCTCCGCGCTTCCTGTGTGTCTCCCCATCCACGGGTCCCGATGAAAGATGGACAGCTCACGAACAGCGGCCGACCGAGTGAGAAAGAAAAGCACGTCGGCATCCCGTAAATCTTTGACTTGCGAGTATTGTATCCGTCCCTTTGCCCGGCTGGAGCATCTTCAAAGGCATCTCCGCACACGTTGAGTGACCCACAACCCATACACCCTTTCGGGGCTTGCATGCTGTATTCATTTTCATCATCACCCTCAATGGCTGACCGATAATTGCAGACACGAAAGAAAAACCTTTTTCTTGTGATATCTGTTCCAAATCGTTCGCAAGAAGGTGAATCAAGTTTCTTGATTTGAAGGATTGCATCCTTTCAAGCCTTACTGATAAATCGAGTTACTGATAGTGACCTCCTTGTCCGCCATGAGCGCCTGGTACATCCGTTGGAGAGTAATTCAAGCCGCACTGAGAACCGAATAAAACCTTCCGTGGAGGTTTCGTCAACCCCAGCCCCTATACTACCTCCTGCTCCAACCCATGATAATCAAGTACTGGAACTACCGGAACCCGTGGGCGTTCAGACCCCCTCTGTGCCTCGTCCAGATGTCTCCGTTCACCCCTCCCAGATAGCTGAGCCAACCCAATTCAACCCCTCATGGGGATATGACCTTAACCTTCTTTCCCATGCTGCCAGTCATGTTGCCCTCGAAGGGCAACAGGAAGCGGTCAGCCCCATCCGCAAACCCTCCGTTGTAGTTGTAGAGAAACCAATAGCTGAGAACTACAGCGTGGAACCGTCTATTTTAGACCTTGCGGACCTAGGGGACCCTGTTCAAGATTTCACAGTTTTCTTAGAAAGTGTAGGTCTATCCTCTGATTGGGACTCGGGTACGTTCTCGACGGTGGTTGAACAGGAGTCTATACTCCCTGGACCAATCCCCCCGCCCGCTTTTGGTACAAAGCAGTCAATCAACCCTCCAAGATACAATAACGGAGACCTGCTGAGTGATCAACGGACCTCCACGGATGAAGCTCCGTCTTTTTCAAATTTTGGATCCCGTTTACCTTCTCTCCAACCGGAATCCCGAGACCCAGAGGATCGTCTTGGAATTCCCGATGAAGCCGCGCAAACTAGACCAGCCTGGGACGTGTCAAATCAGGATAGACAACTTTTTATTGCTAGGCTGGAAGATTTTGCCAATGTGCTCCCTAAGTCTTTTGTACCTCCATCCAGGCATGCTCTCTCTCGCTTTTTCGCGGGATACATTAATGGACTTAACGAGCATCTTCCATTTATTCATGTTCCAACACTATCTGTGGCAAGGTGCCCTCCCGAGCTCAGCCTCGCATTGGCAGCTGCAGGATCCCATTACAGATTCGAAAATAATCGTGGAATCGATCTTTTTTACGCCTCGAAATCAATCCTTCTTGAACGAATTCGGCGCCGAGATGCGCGTCGAGTGCCACAAGTGTCATGGGGTTTTGGCGGGTCCAACCCTGGTTTACACGCCCCTCGAACTCCGTCTTCGATCTCGAATCCCGGTAACAGTCCATTCCAGCAACCATATCTTTCTGCTGTGGATGGCGACACCTATCCTGAGGAAGATTCTGATGCACAAATGGAAATTATTCGTACTTTTCTCCTTCTCACAGTGTTTGCCTCGTGGGAGAGGCATCCAGATTTGCTACGGGAGATACTTGCGCTTCAAAGCACTCTTGCCAGACTGGTTCGGGACCATGGCTTAGTAGAGTCTGCCCCATCGGCAGAAAATATCAGCTGGGAAGACTGGGTTCACAAGGAAGCCGAGAGGCGAACGAAACTTATCGTGTATTGCTTTTTCAACCTCCACTCCATTATGTATAATATACCTCCTTTGATTCTTAATTCAGAACTGAAGCTCAACATGCCAGCCCCTGCTGAAGAATGGAAAGCTCCCAACGCTGCTCAGTGGCGTCGCCTCCACCGCTCCCGTCTCGGAGGGGACATGTCATTTCAGGAAGCATTGATGAAACTTTTTATCAAAGCACCACAAAATAACGCTCCTAACTCCATATCTCCATTGGGAAATTATGTTTTAATCCATGCAATAATACAGCAGATTTTTTTCGCTCGACAGTTATGCCTCTCATCTCCCCTGATGCCTGGCACTAGTCTGCGGCCTGAAGACTTGTCAGTATTGGACTCTTCTCTAAGTGCATGGAAAACAGGCTGGAGGCGGACTCCCGAATCTAGTATCGACCCTCAAAGTCCTGCTGGACCTATCGCCTTTACGTCAACTGCCCTTCTTGGTTTAGCCTATATCAGGCTGCACCTAGATCTTGGCCCTTGTCGCAAACTTGTAACTCAAGATCCATCACAGATCGCGCGGGCACTCAACGAGTCACCTCCTGTTGTGCGGAGCCCGAGACTGACGATGGCATTACTCCACTCCGCCCACGCCCTTTCGATCCCAGTGCGCCTAGGGATAGACTTTGTTGCAAAGACTCACTCGTTTTTCTGGAGTATACAACACTCGATTTGCAGTCTCGAATGTGCTTTTCTTCTCAGCAGATGGCTACTTGCAATCCCAGCCACCCAGACTGAACAAAGGTTATCTGACCACGAAAGAAAATTACTGTTGTGGGTAAAGAGTATGATGGAGGAGACGGATATGGTGTTCAATGTGGCCAACATTGGCGATATCGATTTCATAAATGACTCTCTCAAGGTGAAGCAGCTCAGTGTTGCTGTTGTTCGTGTATGGTCAAGGACATTCAAAGGAAATACCAGCTGGCCTATAGTGGACCTCATTGGATCAAGTTTGGAGATATACGCTGACTTTCTGGAGATGTAGCCTGTTGCTACATATGCCTCTATTTTACACATGTATCTGGACCGCTGTCGATTTGTATTTTTGGGCGGTCGCGTACGAACTTGGGATATACCCACTAAATTCCGAAACTTCATGCTCTTGGATTTCTACAATAGTCCGATTAACCAATAACTATGAACCGGCCACCAGCCCCATGTTTTTCAAGCATTCCGTTTTGAGGGGCCGTTCTGGAATGGGTTGGCTAACACATCCCCTATCTGTCAATTCGTTTGGACACAGCTACAAATACCACCAGCCTCCTCTAGATCTGGGGCTGCCGACATCACCCTTCAAACGCCGGGGTTCCTGTCGATCTTTCTCTTAAATATCGCATCAGGTCGACGCGAGATAACAACTCAGCGTCTTCTCCCACTATTTCATATCTTATGCTCCACCCTTTTCAATTCTGCAAAACCTTCAGGCTACAAGACCGAGGAAGGTGTCAAAGCAAATGCCTCTTGCCGTTGTCACCGGCACGCGTTTGAGCACCCTTATTTCATTTTCACAATACCCTCGCTCAAAAACCACTCGGGATACAATTCCTCATTCGCCTCCTCTAACCATTTCAGCCCCTTCAGTGTATATGATTGCTAAATCCCTTTCCTACCCCCGTTGGTATTTATTTTTGCTTTTATTTAATACCCCAAATCCACGGCTTGAATGATACATTGATGTAAGGAAATGTCTTGCTTGCCTCACGCACGTTACCCTTGAATGGAGATATCAACATGTCTGAGAAATGAAACCTCTGTCAACTAAGAGCAGGAAAGGGAAATGTTAACCCAATTTTATCCAGCAGGATGGGTTTCGATTTCGTGTTTTATTTTATTTTATAATTTGTTTTAGCCTTTGAGCTAGGTTTTGTTGGGAATGGATGTTCATGTTATTTTTTTATAAAAAAAAAAAAAAAGAAAGAAAGAAAGAAAGAAAAATAGGGGGCAAGCTAGGATGGCGAACAGGGAATTTGGTGCTTTAACTAACCCCATACATCGATGATGACAGGGTCCCCGGCTAGTTGCACGACACAAAGAGTTTCGCTACCCTTTTTCCCTTCGGGACTTTGGTCAAGGAATGAGATTTCCTCGTTTGGTTACTCCTCTAGTATTGAATAAATATTTGACATGGCCTACGACATACCCTTCTGTTGCATATTTATATATTTGATTTAAGATAGATATTATTCCGAGTTTTTGAATTTCGTACGTCTCTCTGGCTTCACCTACTAACGTACTTTTCGTACCAAGGCGAGATAGATAAGTTTGATTTTCCTGTGTTTATCTGAGCTATGCGCACAGCTGTACTCTAATCCTGTGGGATGATTAATCTCTTACATTGGATCATAAGCTAGCTAATCTATATATGCAGTGGAGAGTGGCCACTGGGGCAACAGCGCAACAGCTAATCTGTATACATATCGACAATTTTTTCCCTTTTTTAAATTATTTTTATTATTTTTATTATTTTGTGTTATTTTTAATTATATTTTTCTTCTGCGGATCTGAGGTATTAGTATTTATTACATTATGATTTTGAAGGAAAATATGGTTACCAGAATGTCTATAATGATACATAAATAAGCTTCATCTCACATCTGCATATAAATGAGAACATAATAATCAATGATCATTCTAATCATCAGTGAAGTGATATCAGTAGTACAACGTCTCAAATGAACATAAAATCAGGATGTCATTACTATGCATGATTTTACTGCTCCTTCATCTCATTTAATCTCAAAATCACACTCATAGGGATGAACCTCAGAGCAGACATTGATCTCTCCAACTCTGCAACATCATGTCCCTTGTCGGTGTTGACACTGCTGTTTGGTTCCCTATTTCCTGTACTTGCTGCCGCCGCTCTTCTTGCTGGCACAGATGTGCTTCTAGAACCTATTGCCGATTTCAGGTATACAGGTAGCTGGGCCGTTCTCAGGGAGCTATCGAGGCTGGCGTTGGCATTGGAAATCTTATTGTTACTGAGAGTCGATGAATGTTTATCGCTATCCATATTTTCACTGGGTGTTGATTGAGATGATTTCCATCGTCTCAGACGGCTCTCATGTTGTGTTAAGTTTGGCACTGTGACTCGTCCGAGGTGAGCGGGTGCCGTGCCTCCTCTGAGCATTGAGTCATGTTTATCGATGCCAGTATTGACGATGGCAAAATTGTATACCTGGTGCAGGATAATTCTAAGGGTTAGTCGCATGAGGCTTACTTGAAGCAGGATGCATGCAAACCATGATCATCCATTTCTACTCTCTTCACCTTTTTTGTCTTTTTGGTGTACATATTTTTCAGGAATTAATACGGGAAAGATACTAACGTTGGAGACTTACGCGGGGGAATAGATGTTTGTCGATAAGATGCATTCTTCGTTTCTGAAATGTTGAGCACTTCCTATCGCAGCCCTCGACGAAACATGTAAACTACGCCAGAGTTAGCATAAACTGTGGCTATTGTGGGTAACTTGTGTGGAAACCAAAATGAAATTGAAAGAAGTAATACCGTCTTCTCTCCCTTCTCTCTCCGCGCTGCAATCAGTGGATCGTGGTGTTCCTCAATGTGCAGGGTAAGAAAATGGGCAGTGGGAAAATTTTTTCCACACGCTGAGCATCGGTTAACATGAGTTTGAGCGTAATGGACCTCGTAGTCCTCATAAGTCGAAAATGAAACGGCTTCTCTGTGAGGCGGTAAGGTGCAACGCATTACTCCGTGGTTCTCATTTTGGTCGTTCAGATGCACAAGTTTGCCTCGAGGAGAAGTTGGCGATTGCATGGTGGGCGCGCCTGGTTGAGGGCTGCCAGAAGAATCTGCCGACTCCGATGCATAATGCTTGTCGCGTGAGCGTTTGGCCATTGCTTTTTCATATTATGTTTCGAAACTAAAGGAGAGGGAGGGGTTTCTCTCTCCGTCTCTCTGGCAGGAGCTAGCACGGACAGAACACAAGGGAGGCCGTGCTTTGTTGCTTGAATTGTTTATCCAAGTTCCATGTACCTATGTGGATATCCCAACAAGGAGAAATCTACACGATATTGAGCAGAAGCCCAAGCGCATGGAGGCAGCTAGTTGCGTTCAGATTCAAGGCGATAGAGAACCGATGAACATAGATGGACGTGTCGAGGAGGTGGAAGTACAAAGTAAACAGATTATGCTAAGGCAAAACCTATCGATAGAATAGCTCATCCCAATACGCAGTTCCATTAGCCAAGCAGCAGTGTATATATGTATGTCTCTGCCTGAGAAATCGATTTGTGTGATATTTCGCTGTATGACTGAATGAGCCACTAGGTAACTAACTAGTTACAAGAATGACGCTGACGATGACTAAGCAAGAAGTTTGAACTTTGCCCGCCTCCGTTCTAATATACACAGTTTTCACCTCACTTTTGAGCCAAGGGGAAATCTGAAATTCAAGAGGAGCAACGAGGAAGCAGCTGAGTTGCCCATCATGCCGCTCGCAAAGTCGAAAAGTAATGTTGGGCTGGGGAACAGTTTGATGAACGATCGGTTTGGAAAAGGCAGAGGTGCTGATCGCAAGAAAGTTTCCTACAATTCTGGTGCCGTTCGACGAACCGGTTCTTCTGGCGAGAAGTACATCACCAACGCAGCAGAGGAGGCATCATGGGTTAAAATGCGAAGTATTACTGAGCAAGGTTCTCTGGATGAATTTCTGAGTACCGCGGAGCTTGCTGGCACGGATTTTACGGCGGAGAAACTCAACAATGTCAAAATCATACACACCGATCAGAAGAACCCATATCTGCTCTCTGCAGCTGATGAGAGGGCTGCTGTTAATAAACACCAGCGGAATCGTGGCAGATTAACGGTACCCCGCCGCCCGCAATGGGACGAAACGACAACCCCGCAACAGTTGGATAAGTTGGAGCGCGAGAGTCTGCTCGACTGGAGGAGGGGGCTTGCTGAGTTGCAGGAACACCAGGATCTCTTGTTGACACCATTTGAAAGAAATTTGGAAGTATGGAGACAGCTGTGGAGGGTTATCGAAAGATCGGATTTGGTCGTGCAAATTGTTGATGCGAGGAATCCGTTACTTTTCAGATCTGAGGATCTAGAAAAATATGTAAAGGAGGTGGATCCGAAGAAGCGGAACCTGTTACTGGTCAATAAAGCAGATATGATGACAGATTTTCAGCGAGAAATATGGGCGGAGTACTTTGAAGAGCATGGTATCAACTACAAGTTTTTTTCTGCTGCATTGGCTAAGGAGAGCCTCGAGGCGATGGAATTGGCTAACAAGGACGAGGATAATGATGGTAATGACTCAGAGGATGGGGAACTTGCCAGTGATACCAAAAAGATGAATATTCAAGTTGCGGAAGGACGCTCGAATGATGAAGGCTCAGAGGAAGAGGAGGAGGAGGATGATGATGATGGCGTGTCACTCCCTAATACTCGGGATACGCGTACTAAGATTCTTACGATTGACGAGCTTGAAGATCTTTTCCTTACAGCTGCACCAAACATAAAGCCAAAAGACGGGGACAGAGGAAAACCCAAACCAATTACAATTGGCCTTGTCGGATATCCCAATGTTGGTAAATCTAGCACAATAAATGCTCTCCTTGGCGCAAAGAAAGTATCAGTATCCGCCACGCCGGGGAAAACAAAACATTTCCAAACCCTCTATCTCTCGCCTAACTTCCTCCTGTGTGACTGCCCCGGCCTAGTTTTTCCCAACTTTGCAACGACAAAAGCGGAGCTTGTTGTGAACGGTGTTCTACCTATAGATCAGCTTCGCGAATTCCTAGGTCCAGCAGGAATCGTTGCTCAGCGGATTCCAAAAATTTTCCTAGAAGCTGTCTATGGTATGAAAATTCATATGCGTCCTCTCGAGGAGGGAGGCACTGGTGTCCCCACAGCGTCAGAAGTTCTTCGTGCATATGCGCGGGCTCGAGGATTTTCCACAACAGGTCTTGGCCAACCCGACGAATCCCGCGCTGCTAGATATATATTAAAGGATTACGTCAGTGGGAAGCTACTGTTCTGTCACCCGCCACCTGCCTCTGAATCTGACATTGAAGCTGGAAAGAAACCGATTGATCCAGCAGAGTTTAATCGAGAGTTATACGACATCGACCATCTCCCTCCTAAAAGACGAGAGGCCCTTCTCCACCACGGCGCATCATCAACGTTCTTATCTGAGCTTGACGGATCATCCCGCCATTTTGATGCCAATGCAGACACAAATAGCAACGTCTTGTCAGTCCAGTCTTCCGCTGCTTCCCATCCTGAGGGCGCCCGCTCGCGGAAGATCGACTCAGGGTTCTTCCCGGCAGTGGGTTCAGGTGGAGCAGAACAACTCAAAATGCCGTTTAATTACCAGTACACGCAACAAGGAGCTATCCAGAGACAGAAAGAGCTTTCTGGTCGGAAACAAAAGGTGATGGTAGCGTTGGAAAACGGGATTGATCCTTCAGAGGTTAGGGGGGTTGGCAAGAAACATTTCAAGGGTGGGAAGAGAAAGGCAATAGAGCAAAAGAAGAAGGCGAAGGCTAAAGAAGGGGATGGTGATTTCTATTAGACGGTTGAGAATATCTGTGTGGGCGGGGATTTTAAGTTCATGTCTTCGGTCCGGATACTATGGATGGGTCTGTTTTGCTGATTGATCTCTTGAATTGATGAGTGAATGAACACTAGAATCAAAAAGAGGTAAATGCTTAATATTTATGATTGTATTTGCTGTTGCTTGGGGATGATTGGTTTCCCTCACAACTCATGCTTGGTTAATCACAGAGTGTGAATGAATCAAGTATGCTTGATCAAGCATTCATGGCCCATTTTTGTTATGATATGGTGTTAACGATAATCACCAATTTCTTCATTTAGATTGAGGTTCAACTCTCTCCACTGAAATGAAGCTGTGGCAATGAATAGAAAATTTAGTTTGCATTTCCTTTCGGGTCCAGCATATCACTTAACCATTCCATTTTCTCCTCGGTCATTTACTGCCTCAGGTCTTTTAGCGACCCACTTTCTGTCCCTGATCCCTCTTCAGTTCCGATCCCTCTTCAGTTCCGATCCCCCTTCTGGCCCTGATCTGTCGTCTGGTCCTGATCTCCCTTTCACTCCCGATCCAATTTCCGGTCCATATTCCCGTTTATCTGGCCCTTTCCCTATTCGTCATGGGGACCTCTCACCATCTCGCCTTGAGGCGTTCTTTATGTGGCGTGCAATATTCAGTGGGAGACACAGATGTGATTTTATTGCAACGGATGAACAGTAATGCATGGTATTTTACCTACACATGATATTAGTCCAGAATATATCTTCCTTGAACTCCAAACACGTTTTGCGGATATATCCACACATGTTTGTAAGAAATTTCGTATGTGAATGAAGTGGGTTAAAAATAGGATAACTGAAGATATAGCAATGACAACTACCGAAATTGTATAATATGAAACATGGCTCGAATTAGCTTTGAACTCTAGATTTATCAAGAGTCAACTTAGGATTTGACGGCTTATTTTATAAGATCAAGTACTGCGAGGCATAATTACCAAAGATATTTGGTGGTTTTGAACATGTATTAGAGACCTCGATGGTTATGGTAGGTAGAGAAACAATAAGCGTCCTGAGATCAATGGTTGTGTTGTGAACGTCTGAAATATAAGACTGTTTGACCAAGGGTTCGGATGGGCAGAGAGCATGGAGATACTTATGGCTGTTCTATTGGACTGCCTCTCCTAATGCAGTGGGGGAGTCTATATCAAACAAATGCAGATAGCTTCCATGATTCAGAGAATGGAAAAAGGCCGTAGTAAAATACTACAAATGATATGGAACAAGAACTGAACGACAAGCATGTCTCTTGCGCCTGCGGGCACGTATTCTATTACAACTGAGATGCAAGGACATAAGGTGAATCCCACTGTGGAAAGGCGAGTTTATCCGAGGGACATCGGATCAAAGCGTGAAGAAAGTTCTCTGAACGGGATGGTATTTCAAAGTGAATAGAAGTTTGCATGATTGCAATTATTTGTGGCATAAGACTTCACCGGGATTTCGCCGAGTTAGCTGCTGGCATATTGAAGTGGCAATGGATAGTAGCACGCGGTGATCTGGATGGATTCCTGGTATTGTTCCAAAGATGATTTGGGCCATGACAATAACTCGAACCCAGGATAAGGCCAAGGGGAGCGCTGAGTCTCATAGAGACAGATAGCGAACCAGATATAAGCCGGAAGACCTGGCTTGTTATTGTAAGGGATTCATTCCTGCGACGATGTCTACATCAGGGGTGAAATCCGAGTAAAGCATTGTGCTATGAATGATTGTCGCTTGAGCAAAAGAATCCAGAGGCAGGATAAGACGAAAACCTTTAGTTGTACAAAATGACACGAAATGTAGGATAAACCGTAAAGCCAACTCATGAAAGGTTTTTCGGTATGTTGTAAAAGCAACGTCGTTAGCGCTTGGGTTGGAAGTGGAAAAGGTGTTGCATCACATGACTTGGGCTCAATGAATCCATCGAACAACGATTTATTTCACTTGAGGATAACTAAAAGATAACGAACTTTTTTTAATTTCATCCTATCCTTGCCCAGATCACGACAACGAGACACCCCACCCAGCTACACCCGCATGAATTCATCGTACCCAGATATTTGCCACATATAGATACGGCAAGCATACAACAATTCTTCTCCTGCCACCGGAGTTAACCATCGGAGTAACCATGCCTCCCCGAAGGCAATGGATGTAAGCCATCATATCTGCCCTGGCTCAAGTAAAAGAGGTTTTGGTGAGAGCATGGCATGGCTAACGCATAGTGCCTTTTGACATCGCTAGTGATAAAAAATCTGCCACCACCTATCAGCTCTTTCACAGGTCCCAAAACGACCCCTTAATTCACGATGCGGAGGCAGACGATAGAGTTCTCCATAGGGTGTCGGGTGCCCCCATAACAGAATCGCCCTCTATACCTCTAAAAACTACCAAAACAACAGCCAAGAATCTTGCGGAACTCGAGAAGGAATTTGGAGGTGCTCAGGTCCGCAAGAATGAAGGAGAGGCTGCTAATTATGGGATATACTATGATGATTCGCAATATGACTACATGCAACATCTTCGAGACTTAGGCAGGAGTGGAGATGGACAGTCGCATTTCATTGAAGCAGTCCCGGTTAAGGGGAAAGGGAAGGCCAGGACTGTGAAGCTTGAGGATGCTTTACGAGAGACTTCATTGGATGATGGAGATGACCTTGGCTCAGTCTATGATGATATCCTGTCTACAGCATCGACTTACTCTCGGAAGCCCACATATCAAGATCAACAGAACGTCCCCGATTCGATTGCTGGTTTTCAACCCGATATGGATCCACGGCTGAGAGAAGTTCTAGAGGCTCTTGAAGATGATGCATTTGTGGATACGGATGACGCCGGGGATTTATTCGAATCCCTTGTCCAAGGTGGGCCGGATGCCGAAGTGGATCCCAGCGAATGGAAAGATACCTTTATTGAAGATGACGATGAAGGCTGGGAATCGGATGCAACGGAGAAAGCACCAGAGCAACCAAGCGTAAGCACCACCTATGCCGAATCACCCGCCAAAGGACCCATGGACGATGTGCAAATTCCAGACACAGTTGCCGGCGAGGGAGACTGGCTCCGCAACTTCGCGCAGTACAAGAAGGACATTAAATCGAAACCCGCCCCGCCTCTCATCCACGGGGATACTGGCTCCGTCTTACGAGCCGGAACCGTGGCGTCCACAATGTACACGGCGGGCGGGACCCCCGTCCGTAGAAAGAAGCGCAAAGGTGCACTCACAAACTCAACCGCATACTCCATGACCTCATCATCTCTTGCGCGAACAGAGGGACATCGCCTGCTCGATGACAGGTTTGAAAGAATTGAGGCGCTCTACGCGCTAGATGAAGAGGGCGAGGACTATGATGGCGCCAGTTTGGTGGATGATATGTCTGTGGTGAGCGGGATGTCCAAGGTTTCTGAAGTGCCCAGTCTTGTTAGCGGTGGGACACCGCTCCGATCGGATTTCAATCAGATTATGGATGGCTTTCTGGAGGGTTGGGAGGATCGTGGTGTTCATGCCAAGAGGAAAGGGGCCAAGGGCAAGAGGGGTAAGAATGGGAATGAGGCTATTGGGATGAAAATGTTGGATGAGATCAGGCAGGGCCTTGGACCGGCCAAGTTGCCTGGGAGGGTGTAGGGAACCTCCATTTTATCCATTCAGTCTTTGGATTCTGCGGTCCTACTCCGGATTTTACTGATTGCATGTGTTGGGTACTTATTTACTTGTCGGGTTTGAGGCGTTTGTTTTGTGTTTGTTTTGTGCATTGGCTTGGGACATGAACGATGTTCTCACAAAAACGCATTGGTCTTGGGATAGACAAAAGGGGTTCACCCCGAAGGTTGGTGAAAGGAACGTGGATACGATCATGCCAAAAAGATTGTGATAATCCACCAAAACATATTTTTATAATTTGTACACATCTATTCCTTAAATTCTACAAAGGATATTGTTAAAATATGATCCCGCTACATGTGATATAATATTCATACGCATGCCCAAAGGCTCCGTTCCAATCTGCAAGAACCTACAAAGCCCCCCCAACCTTCTCCACAATCCATATAGCTAATCGTACATTCCACCTTACCCTCCGCTCTTCTTTCCTCAAATCATCTCTGGACATAACACTGGCATCTTTCTGCAACCACTCTGTTTCCTCAGCTAACCTCTGTTTCAACGCCTCGTTGGACGTCACCACGATAGCACCAACCTCCAAATCAAGGCCATAACTTCTTTTCGTGAAATTACTGCTCCCTACAAACGTAATGCTCGGCTGCTGTTCCCCGGGAAGGGTTACCCAAAGGCCCTTGGCATGGTAGCTCCATCCTCCCGATTCACCGACAGTTCCCCGCCGCCATTCCTTCCATTGGATGGAGTTTGCTCTCTGCGCTTCCGCAACGCAGTCCAGGAATCTTGCGGATAGATGGGTGTATGCTGCCGGAAGCATACCTGAGACACCAGCTGAACCATAAAACCCGTTTGCCCAGGGTGAGGCGGTAAGGACCGTACCTTGGGGCTTGGAAACGGTAGCTTTTGATGGGGATGTGCTGGATATTAACAGTGAAGAAAGGACGGGATGGATGTTGAAGTACCCCGCTGTGAAGAGCCACCTGGAGTTAGCTAGAGCGGGGGTGGTGGAAAGGAGGCTGAGGAGCTTTGTCACGGCGGGATACTCTGTGGATTCGTCGGGTCTTAATAATGGGCTAAACTGCGCTACCGGATATACGAATGTTGGTTTAGATGACGCTGGCAGCGGCAGAGCCTTGGATTTCAATGGCCTAACTAATGGCGCCAAAACTGTAGATGCATGTGAAATGAAGTTCTCTCGATCATCGAGGGGTGACGGGGCTCCATTCGAAGCTGGCCAGGACAAAGTATATCCTAATTTATCCTTTGAGTCCGAAAGCATCTGAAAACTGAGGCTGCATACCCCATTGTGAATTCGGGAGTAATAGTCTGTGAGCGGTTTAGAGTTAAAAACATGATATCTGTCTACTCGATTCGAAAAGTAGTCGTTGGAGAGGTTTGCTCTGATAGAGACACGTTAGAAAAAAAAATTGGCGTCCATATATATAGAATGGCACAGTGATCTCACACCCGGAAAGTATTATTTCATTATCAATGCCATACAACTTCATATGCTGCAGGCCCCATCCTTCATTTATTCTTCTTGGAATGATTCGCTTTCTCAATCCAGTGAGGTTGGGAGTGTGAAACATCCGTATTTCTACGCGATCTGGTCCATGCTCTGAAACTAGAGAAGCTAGAAGGGATGCACAGGATTGACCCGGGGTCTCGCGAGTCCCTCTCAAAGCGTCTGTCAGGATCGACACTTGGAGCTCTGGGTTCTTCCGTAGAGCTCCATTGATAATGCCAATAAGTTCATATTCCGTTTTGCCAATATATAGTGTTGAGAGATATATTCTCCTTTTTGCATTTCGAATTTTATCCTAAAGTGAAGAACTCCGTTAACACCATTTATACCTGCATATCAGAGCTAACTGGATCTAGCCTACGTACCTTGAGAGCTTCGTAGAACGCAGTTGGAGAGTCCAAAATGTTAATTTGAGAGGCTTGTATTTCAAATCGAGGTGCAATATTATCCAGTTCAACTGTAATCACCCCAAGTGGTGATGCGGAGGAAGGATGGGCTGGTGCAGGGCTTGGATGCGATGTGAATTTGCGGATAGAACATCGTCGTGGAAGCATAGGCCTGCGACGACAAGAGTAGCTTATGGCTTGTGGCCCAAGGCGCTTTATCATCATGAAAGAAATGAAGTAGTAATCCTGGTTAAATACAATGCCTCAACTGAGTGGGAACATGAAGACCCACGTATTTTCAATTATGATATTTATTCAGAGTATCTTCAGATATTTTGCAGTCTCCAACTCCCGAAGCTCTTGATAACTACGGCGAACCCAACGCTAAACCCCTTTCGGCCTCCCATCTCCAACTGACATCGAACATCGACCCAACTTCATCTCAGCCTATCCCGGGGAATTATCTGGACTATTGTCAACAACTTAGCTTCACTGCTTCTGCAAAGATGTCGACAATCCTCCGTACCGTTCGAAACCTGTGGAGGATTGGTTTCAAAGTTCGTTCCTCTTCGTTTTCCTGCTTGCAATTGCGTGTACTGACCACAACCATCTCTCTAGGAATATGGCCACCAAATGCAGGTACGCTTCAAATCCCGATAACGATATAGGTTTTGCTGCCTTCTAGCTGCCAAAATCTGTTGGCTTATTTTGCTGACTTGCTCACACGTTTGCGTTCGCATAATAGTATATTGGTTTGTCGCCCTCCCCGCATTGGTCCTACTGGGTACATACAAAGCTGACAGGAACGAACTCTCAACAGGTGATACCAAAGCCGGCACATTGATTGCTACGGACCGATATGGAAACAAATACTATGAGAACACGGATGAGCTACCACGTAGGCAATACCAGCTATCCATCCGTTACCAAATATGAGCATCCTATTGACACCTTTTCCCTTTCCACTATTAGTCCGAACGCGCTGGGTCGACTATAAAGAGAAAGAATTTGACCCATCCCAAATTGATGGTGGCTGGTATATTTTTCCTATCAAGCTTCAGAACTCGTTTTGGAGATTTCAATTCATTATCGCACTCTGGGCTAGAAAGTCATTCTGACCTATGGGATATTTTCTTATTCTAGGCACGCATGGCTGGCATACATGGTCGATAAGCCCCCAACTCAAGATGTGCTCATGCAGACTGGCGTGCGACCGTGGGAGTTATCAGAGCACCGACCAAACTTGACCCTTTCTCGCGCTGCTTATAAACCATATTCTACGTGAGTCGATCCCCTATTATGCGCGACCGCATCTTATCTCCCGCTTTATATGAAATGGAAACCGGTCACTATGGGCGCCATGCTTACAATTTCTCTTTTCTATATAGGGTGAGACCTAAATATTCTGCTTGGACTCCTGTAGCCGCGCCCCGATAGACATATGTCTGGATTCCGTGTGGTCTCTCCTGCAAACATTTCATCTGATCACTTGACTTTCAGAATTGGTATGTTTGTTTGTTGCAACCAGGACTTGTATATGTACCTTTTTCTATAAGATTACAGAAGGAAGGAATTGATGCTTTATTCGTATCGAAAGAATATTTTGAACAATATACATATGTATATATTTTCTATAAAAAGGGGACCAGGATGGAGTACTTAGGGATCTCGGCATCATGCTTCGTACACAACGGAAACATATAATTAAAATTAAGTCAATAATTTTATGAAAAGCATAATTACCGACCAAGCAGAAATCTGGCTCAGTCAAACACGAATCCCTCAAACGGGGTGTGGGTAAACAGCCCCGTGTCCACAGGAAACGAAAATATAGATTACGATGAAGAATAGCAAAAAAGGGGTGAAGCCAACTTTAAGGGGTACAAATGTTGGGGGAATAAATTCTTCCACAAAAACATGGCAAGTCCCCTCATAGAACATATCCTCCAGACCCAATGTTCCACCAATGCCGTATTGGCCGTTTGTCCTCAAGTTCCACGCACCACCAGAGGACTTCTTTAGCTTTATCAATCTGCCCGCTTTGTTCGAAAGCTCTTGACAAAGCAAACCACGCTTCAGAACTGTCCCAAGCGCTTCCGAGTTTTGTCAAGGTGGATAAAAGACCATAAGCTCTATCGCGAGCAGCGAGCCGATCTAAAGCTTCTGGTGTGATGTCATGTGGCGAAGAGGAATCGCTGGTGACATTGGTATCGTCGTTGTGCTGTGGTTGAGGATTCGTTTTGAGCTTCGATGGGGTTGATAAAAGAGAAACACCAGGTGTATTGCTGACGTCTAGACCATTTTCAATCTTCTCTAATGGCAAGGTCTGGTCGTATATGTCAAGGAGAAGGTTGGCTAGTCCCACTGTCGCTACGAGATGATCTGGATAATACATTAAGGCATCTTCGAAATGATTGATCGCATCATAGGGCAGTGATTGTGCCTGTGCAAGATGGCCTCTTTCGGCATAGACGTCAGCCCAAAGCTCATCCGAGCTCTTCGTCCCTCCCCAACCTGCAGCAGCGAACGCTCTCGCTGAAGACTCTTGCCCTGCGACGAGCGCTTCCACAAGTCTTGTTTGCTCTGACGCCTCGTTACAAGCTTCCATCGCGTCTTCGAAAAGTCCCGCATGTCGATAGAGCCCTGCGACGAACAACCAGATTTTGATCAACAAGCCTTTTGCGTGTATCTGTGTTTGAACCTTGGAAAACCGCGTGAGGGCGCGTGTGGGAGAGCCAAAGCGACAGCTTCTCGAAAGCAGACTGTAGTGGAATTTGTTTTCAAGGGGAACAGCAACTGTGGTCTCTTTGTTGTTCTTGTTGTGATGGCCAAAGTGTGACAACGAACGTTTTGGTGTGGATGAGGGTCCATCGAGTCGAGCTAATTGAAGTGGCATGTTACGAGATGTGGGTGAGTCGCCCTCAACATGTTGTCGCTGGTGCTTCTTGACTGCAATCACATCAACAGGTGAGCGAGGTGATTTGTCCGAGCTGCGTGGGCGCGCCGTTTTCGTGCTACCGTTCCGTCGATGTAATTTATTCCGAGAAGAGTCACCTATAGCATCCGAAGGGGAACGTTCCGTTGAGACCCGTCGATCCTCATCTGTAACTTGAATTTTTGGTGCATCAGGATCCGCGGGAACTGCCGCAGGCGAAATTGATGGTACCCTTGGCGTGACGTTGCGTTCGCTCCCGGTATGGCCATCTCGCTCGTGATGTCTGATACTCTTCCTTCTACCAAAAATACTACCCCGGAGGCTCTTAATTGTTCCCGTGGAACTCTTAGGAGGGACTAGATTGTCCGACTCGTTCGTTTCGCCCTCTTTACCGGGCTCAGGATTTGTAAACAAACGCCCATAAAGACTGAGGAGTGCCTCAGCTTGATTTAGTGCGTGCTCAGGTCCGTGCATGATTTCCAGAAGAGAAAGCTGAGTAATTCGTAATTCAACAATGCTTTCCTTCTCGCGGGCTTCCATCTCGTTAGGCGCGCCTCTACCCCGCTCTATTCCAGCAGCTGAAAGCCAACGGACTGATTTTTCGCCGGGCTCTTGACATTGGCTCTGTGATGATTTTCCATTTTGTTCGTGGAGCAAATTGACACTTGGTACACTCTCGAAGGCAGCGTCACAAGCTTTGCTTGCGGCCTCGAAATCTTGTTTCGCACTCAATAGAAGTGCGAGCAAATGCCATAGTGGCACGAGATCTCGTTCTTTAGTGCTAACCCAGTGAGAATGTCTTTGTGAGTCTGCATCATCATCGGATTGCTCCGCAACTAAGGTAGTTCGAATATAATCAATCGCACTATTTATGTCCCTTGTCTCTGCAAGTAGAAGGGCAAATGCGAAAGTTGACGCTAAATTGCCTTCGGGTGACTCAGATGCTAACGACTTTTCGAAGGCTTCTAGAGCTTCGGCTTGAATGTCAGTTCGCACTTCATTAACCGGGGTCCACCTCGCCCAATTTGCAAGCCCAATTCCGATTGCTCGATATGCTATCGAAACTGTGATGGGAGACAGTGGGCGGCTACCGCAAGTCCCTGCGGTTGAACCTGGCGAAACGCGCCCGTTGGCCGCAGTGGTTGTAGGAATTATACAATGGAGATCATCCAGTAACTTTTTTAGCATATTGGTCAATTCCTTTGCTTTTTCCGCTTCTTTATAGGACCCAAAACAAGACAACATGCTAATTCCTTCAGAAAGAGTATGAGCAAAGATCTCATCATCTTCCAGCTCACCCGCAGCTTCCACAGATTTTGCCGCTCGCGCTTTCGCACTGGTGGTTAGATTGATGTATGTTTCCAAAGCCTTGATTGCAAGGTTGAACTCTGCCAGAGCTGCGTGGACATGAAAAAGGCGGCGCAGAATTAGAGTCGAATGGAAGGTCTTGGTTGCTGCTCGATATAACATCTAAGGATGGGGTTAGCATAACATAAGAGCTCGACCCCAAAACAAAAACTCACATCAAGAACATTTCGTGAAAAGGCATCTTGCCCGCCTTCGCCAAAATCATCGTCCCGCCACTCCGGTCCACAGAGGATTTCCCAATTCTGCATGACTTGCTCAACCCAGTCTTCAACTTCTTTGTTTGCTACCTCTGCCTTCGGGAACTTCGTGTTTTTAATCAAAATATTTTCACAGATCGCCTCCACGCGGCGGAGTTCCGTCGTCAGTTGGGCCCGCTTCGGACTTTCTGACGGAGAATCATATGCAACTTGTCGTAGCGTAGATGATAAAATTCCGTAGTATGCTTTCCATATCGAGGCTCGTGAGACTGAATTAGTTGGAGCTGTACCAAGGGCAGTCGATGCCTCATCACCTTGCTTTACGTTAGGGTGGGATGCCCATAGCCGAAATGCCCTCAGAGCAAACTCGACGGTATTTTCATTTGCCAGGGGTCCTTCAGCTGCGGCCTCACTCGCTATCAGTGCAGCTTTGGATAAGAGCTGTTCAGACCAGAATAGAAATTGCGGACTTGACGGAGAATTCGACACGAAAGTAGAAGCCCAAGGTAAAACCGACTTGAAGGTGCGTATCGCGTCCTCAAATCCCAAAACTAACGCCTGGGCGGCCCCTAAAATAAATTCCGTATCAGTAGAGTGGTGTAGATGTAGAGAAGAGGATACATACCCTTGATATATCCACCCTTTATAATGCAGATTTCTGTCCAGGATGATAGGGGTTGTCTATCACCGGACAGAATTTGCAGCGTCACATCGAAGTCTCTGGGGAGACGAGAGGCAGCCAGTGCGGGTTCCGATAGTGTCCAATGCAGCCAACCCAAACATATCTGTGCTTGAAAAGAATCTTGCAAAGGATTCCCCACCTCTTCCATTACAGAAAGCAAGCTCGGTATGAGGTCATGGAGTTTTGTTTCCCTGGATCCTGAACTGATGGTAGCGGTTCCAGGTCGGCTGTTCAGGAACTCTGCAACGTGGTATTCGGTACGCGCAGCTTGTACTAGACCTAGTAAAAGACGAGACTGTCAGTAATTATTTCTACTATGATTGGGATTCCCGTGGAAAAACCATACATTTCCGCTCAGGGCAATGCTTTGAAATTTTGCGAACGAGGTTTGGGAGTTCATTCCAATTGCCGTTACATCTCGCCGCATCCAAGGCCTCAAGATAGCGCCTCCTCTTGTCGGCGATTTTAGCCTAGTTACCAGAGTCAGTTCTCATTACCTATATACCTCCATTAAAGGAGTGTAGGGGCCATGTATCGAAGCTTGGCCAGCTTGGTCAGAAGGGGACGTACAGTCATGGTTTTGTGAAGTTAAGCGGATGGATGTGTCACCGCGTTCAGAAACATGGCTGGTTAAAAGGCAAAACAGACACAGTTCTTGATACAATCATAAAGCAAGCATGTGACATAGATGCAGTCAGTCACTTGGAAGATTAGCTAAAAAAAGCATTGAAATTCTTCCCCCCGAGAGGTAGTTATTGGACCTGTTGTTTGGAGTTCGCTTGGCGGCAAATAAATGAGCATTTTAGCGCCGGTAGCCGCGAGAAACAAATCTTAGCCGCCGTCTTTGTTTCCTCGACGCAAAAAGTTTCCTCGCATGAATATAAATTTTGACAAGCTTCACAGATGCCTCTTATGGCTTGCCAAGAAACGGCCCGTCGAACATAGCCTCTGGACCTGAGGTTAATCAGCCCTGATCTCTTAGGTCGTTGTGCTCTCCACAATGGCAAGTATCATTTGTCTCCGCGCCGCGACACATCGCCTGCTCACGACGCCCGTGAAGGAGCTCCCATCGATTGCAATTTACCTTGCGACTGCCTTTGCCGATTGTGGAAGCATTCTATCCACTCCTCAGACGAAGAAGAAACGTCTGGGAGAGTTTGACACTTCATTGTTGGTGCAGAAAGTAAAGGCCCGTATCACAAGTCTACTACAGGATAAAACAGTTGAAGGACGATGGACGGCAGTTGTTCTTGTGAAGGCTGTAATAGAAGCTGGACAGTGGGAGATCCTCCAGGGCTGTGAGGCCTGGGTTCGCGCTCTCCTAGCTATTCTGGGGGTGTGTACTTTATCTTTGCTTTTTTCAACCTCATCCAGGTGTTTTGTCAATCAAGTCCTCTTGCTAATTAACAAGATACAGAGACCTGATCCGTTGTCGACAAAAAAGCTCTGCCTTATTACCTTGACACGCATATTCCAACTCGCTTATCCGTACCAAACGTTGGTGAGAGAAATAACAACACCGTCATTGCCGACTTTTATCACGTCGTGTTTGAACCTGGTCTCTGTAAAACTGGCAGGTGTGCAAACGAGGCAACTGAAAAAGAATACGCCGTTGCTTGAAACCGTATTGCATGCGTTTGTCGAATTACTCCCTCGCCATCCTACCATTTTTCGCCCATTCTCTTCGCAAATCCATGGCTTAACCTTGTCCCTTATTGGGTCCTTTGCTCGTCCAGACTCATTATCAGATTCCAACGTATCTCTGGCAAAACAACTCTTCATTGCCCTACACCAATGTGCTCCAAAAAATACCGGCGGAGAAGAATGGCTTAAGGCTTGTAGATCTACGATATCCTCAATACATCAAACGAGCGATCACTTCTTTCGGGGTGTAGTAGAGCAGTGGGAATCTGTTGATGCCTCCTTACGGCAGAGCTCTAGGCCAAGGAACTATGACCTTCCGGTCGGGGATGATGGGCCAGATGCGCTGGGGCTACCTGGCTGGCATGGTATATATGCTGGAGGTGAGAGGTTAGAAAGCCTTTTGAAGCTACTCGTTGGATTCGTCTCCATGCCTACCAACTCGACCGTTTCGATGCCGATAGGTTCCATACTTGATTTGTCCAATCGCTTACTCTCTGTAACATACCCGTCGTTTGATGGCGAAGATTCCTCACAGGGTGGAACAGAATTGAACCCTGAAATTACCCGTGAAGAAAAAGAGGGCCTTTGGGCTGAACTTCCTAAACTTCACATTGCGACCATGAATCTCCTACGCGTTATTGTCGAAAGATTTGGCCTAGGGAGTGTCGCCATTGCACAGAGTTGTCTTGATCAGACTCTCTGGATGTTTGAGGTAGAAAGTAGCAACATCAACGTGCGGACAATTGCTTACCAAGTATTAAATGCTATCTTGCCCATAATTGGGCCCTCGATGACAAAGTCTGGCGTATTGTCCTTGGCATCACTTGTCCGATGTGGGTGTCAGGACGTTTTACCGTTCACAACAGACAGGGTGGTTGGCATTGGTCAACCTCTTTCTGGCAAGGCAGTCTCGAAGCCAAACCCTACGACGGGCAATGTGGACTCTTTTCTGAGTCGAAATCTCACAACCACTAATTGCACGGAACATCCTTTCCCTAATCTAAAAGCTGCCGCTGCTGATCTCCTTACGAGATTCCTTTCATTTGTGCCAACAGAACACATACCCCCAAGTCTTCGCGCAGAAATTGACCGAACAGCGATCGTAACAAATAACGAATCTTTCATGATGGCTAGTGTCCTTAATCCCGTCACAATGACGTCTAGCCGTCACAAAACACCTAGCATAATGCCGTTCCTAGCACGGAGCCACCCTGACAGGGCTGGGGTTGAAGCACTCCTAAGGCCAAGGATGCCAGTCCTGATGGGAGCCGCAATATCAAGTATAATAGACTTGGAGGACGAAGATGAATTTGAGCCGCAGCCAACGACCAAGTTCTCCACGTCGTCAAACGTGTTCCCTGAGGAACTCACTAGGCCGGTGAACAAGCGAGTTCTGGATGATGTTCAAATGGCTGATCAGCAATCTGCACTGTCATCGGAGTCGCAAGGTTCTACGACTTCACAAGCTAAACGAATTCGTGTCGAAGCGATGCAATCATTTACTCCGCCAACGCCGGCCGTCCCAGAACAACCAACAAACCTATCTGCACCTGTAGTCGAGGAGCTTTTGAGTGTTGATGAACAGAGGCCTGTCACTCCATCAATTCTTGCGAAGACCTGTCAATCCTTAACGACTGCACCGGACCGTGTAGTCATGCGAAATATTAGTTCGGATACAATGAGATCAGAGACTTCCGTCGCTTACGGAGCCGATCCCAGTGCGGTCATTGGTGTTGACGCTGGAGAAGGCGATGATGGATCTGAAGATGAAATCCCTACCCTGAACATTGAACCGGATACCGACGGGGAAGATGAGGATGTATAATTTATCTGGCTGAACCGATCAGGTCTTGGAAGCCAGGGTATTTGTCTGCAATCCACAATCAAGTCTAACCATCCATATAATATGCGATATATATAACCTGGGTGAGCGCTATACGATATCTATCTAATGTAAAATATTGTCCCTTTATCAATACCCAAATATGAAAGAAGGTCAAATACGTGCATCCCTGACATTGAGATAAATTGAGACGCCCGGCATATCCAAAACAGTCCAGGCCGCACCTCTATACGTATTTTATTTTTGTGTATTTCATCGAAATCTACAACATGTATATCCCAACATCCCACCACGTCTCGCTTCGCCACTGCTTAACCACTGCTTAACCACTGACCTTTCTAACATCACCAACTCTCACTCTCTGCTTCAAATTTCAATTTATGAATTGGGACTGACTGGAACCGGCTGGAGCAACCACGTCCCGCCCTTCGCGAAATCATCAGCTCCCAAGGGACCAAAAAAAAAAGCCCAGACTACATCAACAATAGGATTTGTTGACCAACGTAGCCTGTGTGAAGGTCGAAATGGGAGAAGTGGGACGATATACCCCGTAGTGAGGCCTTGAAGCATGATTGCCGGAGCCGGGAGGAAGAAAAAGAAGGAAAAGACTTGGAAAAAGGTTGGTTGGATCCGATGGCGTCTAAGTATCGCGATACGTGAGCATCATTCTTAGCCTGCAATATATAAAACGGGCGGGATTTTAAATCCCCAAGCCAGAATTTCGGTGCTCAGGAATATGCATAGTTATATGCAGATTCAGGGAAACCTGATCTATCTAGTAGATATAGGTGTAAATGAAACCTCATTTCCTTTCACGTAAGGTTCAAGAATATAAATTGACAGGTGGGGATACACTTGATTAAGTTTTACGATAGATGTCTTGCCTCAATACTTGCAGACTAGACAAAAAAAAAGGGCAAGGGAGTGGGAATTCCAAATGGCCATCCGTTTCCACTCCACCGCAGCATAATGATATATAGCCATCCCATTTCGCCAATATCACCTTGAGACAACCACCAAATACAAGTCCTCAATAAAACAAAAAAAAGCAAGGGGGGAGAAAGGAGAAGAGGAGGACATTGATGATAAGAGTAGCAAACCCCCCAAACACCTATTCACTTGCCGCACAACCCCTACCGGAATCATTTTACGCCTTCGGTGATCGAATTCAGTATGATTCATGCATATACAGGGAGAAAAACAGTCCACAAAAAGAGCATAAATTAGCAACCGTCAGGCAGGAGGGGAAAATATTTGGAACTAGATGATCAATCGTGATGAGGAAACACACGGGGTATTATTGGAAAGGGAAATTAAATTATAGAAAACATCAGGAGGAAGAAATCAATGGGTAGAGTTCGGAGAGAAAACAGAATGGACAACCGTCATGCCAAATCTCATCGTGGTTGTTCTAAGGTTTTAAAGAGTCTGCTCAGTCTAAGTGTATGTGCATTATCTTTTGCAGGTAGGACTGGATGTTAAAATGGCCTAAATAAAAATGGGTGTTCTTCTCCCTTTGGGGCCTTCAGGATATTGCGAGAAGATATTTTCGTCCACAAGGGTTTTATGGGCCAATCGAAATCAGCAGATTTGCAGGATATCAGTTGATAGATGAGGGAATTCTAGAGGAGTACACAACCAATAGGCAAAAGAGAGAAGAGGAAGAGTGATTAGATGTTAGAAACGGGAAATTATTAAACAATCGGTAAAAAAAGAAGAAAAAAGAAAATAAATAATAACCAATTACTATTGCTGACGGCAGCCTGACGTACCAGTCTTCGCGTAGGATGTCCTGTCTTCTCCGTGGGTAGATGTAGAATCTGTCCTATAATCTAACCCCTGCCTTACTACCGGGCTTCTTATTCCATTGTTAGTTCTCTCCAGAGGCTGATTGCTGTTTTCCAAATGATGATGGGGAGCTGTTTGGCCACTAGGTAATCTTGGGTTGTTGGTAATAGTTCCGAATGGAGACGGGACGGAAGACATGTTTTCATTGGCACTGGGTCGCCATGACGTGAATAATCTCGTATTGTTCGTAGAATTTGACCCATTAAGACAGTTGAAAAGGCTGGTGTCCGGTGACAAGGCAGGTGGGCCCGTTACAGAATTCGCTGATGGCACCGCTGGTGGCATAGACGTCGGAGCGAAAGATGCAAGACCATTTGCAAGGTGGTGCAAAGAATATGGGAAGGCCCCCATTGGCGGCTGAGGGGAAGGGTGATGATAAGCCACTGATCGTGCAGAGCTTTCTCTCAGCTCCCGCTCTCTGTTCTTTCTCGCCCATGCGGCCGGATCGTTCCGTTTGAGTCTCTCGTCGTCAAGTTCCTCCTGGACAGCCTTCTCTTCCTCTGGAGTCAACTTATCACTATCCTCACGTTGGAAGGTTTCTGTAAGAGCAATCTTCCGTATGTTTGTCGTTTCATAGAGAATCAAATCCAGAACAGAAGGGTCTTTCCCCTTAAATTCCGTGAGATCTCTTTGATGAACGACCTTCGGCTTGAAAAGGTAGTCTTTGGAAAACTTGGAAGCCCACCGTACTGGGTTCATTTTATCAACCACACGATACGAAAGTTGAGTTTTGAAAACAGCTTTGTTGTGCATAATATCCTCAAAGGTCCCGCCCGCAAGAAAGCGATATACGAATACTGGTTTACGTTGACCAAGCCTGTATGCGCGTCCAACGGCTTGCTCCTCCCAGGTAGGATTGAACTGGAAGTCGAAAATTATAACACGATTCGCTCCCGGGATATTGAGACCCAACCCTCCCGCTCTAGTTGAGATTAGGTAAACCTGTGTGTACGAACCTGAATTGAAGTTCTTTGTAGATATCTGTCGCGTTGCAATGGGAGTTTTTCCATCTAGACGGGAATAAGTTCGACCTGCCTGCCTTAAGACATGTTCGAGGTAATTAAGCGTTGGGATTGAATGTGAAAATAACAGAACTTTATCACCAACTGCGATGGATAGTTCAATGATTTTATCCGCAATCTGGGCACGATAAGACAGTTTGAGAGATTGCAAATCCAGGTCAGTGGCGAAAACCTTCTCTAAGCTCGTGAGCATTTCGGGAGAGTGGACCTGGGATATGGGGGCATCCCCTGGCATTTCACAATCAGAATCAATGGAGGCCCAATTTGACGCGGAATTTTGAACACCTTTGCTTCGATCTCGAAGCTTTTCCATAAAGCACGCCGGATGATTGCAGAGTAGAGACAAAATAGACAACCAGTCCCATAGCCTTGGATTTCCCATAGCTTCCTTATCCGATGCGAGGGCATCGATATAAGCATTGTATGCTTGCTCCTGAAAGGTAGTCAGCGGAACAGTGATTACAAACTCAACCTTGGGTGGAAGTGACCCTTTCAAGACAGAAATATCCGCCCTATTCAGTTTTGGATCAATGTCTTTCTTTAGAACTTGCAGTTTCTTCAAGGAGTTACGGCGTTCCCATTGCGAGCTGTCTGCATAAAGTCCTTCCTCAATTGGCTCAATATACTTCGCTTTGAACTGGACAAACTCCCCAAGATATCCGGGTGCAATCCAATCTATCATTGCATAGTACTCCCTTAGATTGTTGGCGAGAGGAGATCCTGTTAGCGCAATGCGGCTTTTTGATACGAACGTACCACAAGCTTCAGCAACTCCAGCTTTTCTATTTTTCAGCTTGTGAGCCTCATCCGCAACAATGATTCTTGGACCTTCAAGAAGATGTTTTCGCACTCTGCCATGAGCGTGATCGTCAAGAACAGGTGGGCGATTTTTCCTTGCTTTGTTGAGAATTAATGCTCTGAAAATGTCATAGCTCATTAGCAAAATACCACCCTCCTTATACCAAGCTGTAATCCCATCCAGCCGTTCCTCAAGTTGAAGCGTAGGTAAAATTTTTCGGAATGGTCCAAGGTTGCGACTGGTTTTAGGGTCGTCGCCGGGTGTCCACATTAGAAGCTCATCCCACCAATTTTCAATCAAAGAGGAAGGACACAAAACAAGGGTACGAGAAAGTCGGAGGCTTTCGGGAACCTGGATCCTCACTTTAGGGTCGTCTGAAGCTGCTGCGTTTGCGATAGTTATCAAAAGAGATATGCTGCTATATATCAGCTGCCATCCATTAAACAAATCCACTGGCACTTACACCTGCATAGTTTTCCCCAGTCCCATCGTGTGAGCTAAAAGACAACCCTGATGCTTTTCATCCTTAATCAACTCTCGCCACATGAATTGAATTCCGCTCAATTGATGCGGTTTTACACGAGCGCCAATGTGACTGTGAAGGTATATTACTGGATCGTCAAAGCTAACAGCCTGTCGCTCTGGATCACTGTTGCTTATACCTGTCCCCTGAAGTTTGCGGGCAAGCCTTTTCCGCTGTTGTTCCTGAAGCTCAACACGGCGCTGAGCATTTCTTTGTGTGTCCATCGCCTCCTGGCTCTCTTTGACTGCTCTTTTTCGCCTTTTATGTGGAGTATGGTGTTCCTCAGGTTCTGAGGTGGGAGAATGCTCTTCAAAATCCAAATTCCCACTTTGCTCATCTGCGGATAGCTTGGAGAAAGTGAGGCGTTCAGATCCAACTTCTTTGGTTGAGGATATGGGAGGCGGTTGCCCAGGTGACTCCTTTGTTACCTCGTCCTTCTTATCTAGAAGCGTCTTCAGAGCCTCACAAAGAAGAGGGTGGAAAACACCAAAACTGGTCTGGTCGTTAAGAGTGTTCCCAATACATGTTTTTGGAATCCCTCGCATGGCCAATACCATTTTACATTCATGCCAAGCAACATAGAGCACAGCAGCCCTCAAGTATAGGGCGTGTTTTTGACTAGTTTGTAGAGGGTGCTGTTTTGAGAGTATTCCACGCAACACTCTCTGGAGACATTTTCTCGCTCGTCCAAAGTTAGTAGACCTGATTAACTCATATAATTCACGATGCTCCTCCAGAGGAATTGCCCAGACTAGTTTCCTCAACAGAAGACCACGATCATGCCGCTTCTCTACCACTGACCAATCTGTCTCTGCTATTTCTTCAATATCCGGAGAGGCCGGAAGCCGTAAGCTAGAAGTGTTTTCCTTTTTCTTTCCAATCCGAGTGAATTCGCTAAGTAGCTGCGATCGTGGAGAAGGTGAGAGCTTGGTGTTAATATCATTAACAGGGTTAACAGGGTTTAGTGGAGGTGTGTGGACCTCGAAATTGGGTTCCGATGCTTCATCAGAGCTCTTAGTCAGATCCACTACCTCAATAGGGCTTGTGGGGCGTTGTTGTTGCATTTGGCGCAATTGCGCGGGTGAAGTCAAAGTTGTTAAACGATTCGGTTCAGGAGAACGTTGGTGAAGAATCTTGGATTCTGGAAGGGAAGGGATTTTCTGACGTCTTTTTCGAAAAGTCTTGGGGGATATAATGTCATCCTCAGTCTCTGACACCTTTCCTGAGATTTGAGTGGCGATATCATCAACTGAGACAATGAAATCATTAATGTTGTCGACAGTTTCGTCCTCCCACTCTGAGCTCAACCACTCCTCATCCTCAGGAATGCAGGGCTTCGGAAGCTTCCCTGTCTTTGGAGAAAAAGGTGGTGGTTTTGGAGGACATGAATCAAGTTCCAAAATCGATATTTTCCATTTTTCAACTTCCCTATTGAAAACAGTTTCTTCCATGGAGTGACACTGCTGCTGTACATCGTGTGCTTTTGACCACGGTGTGTCTTTTATTGCCTTTCGAAGTGATTTCAAACGGCTTTCTAAATGGGCAATTGCCTTCCCTGCAGATTTAACATCGCTATGTTTTGAATTCCGTTGTCTGGAAGACAGCCAGAGTTGTTGTGCTTTTGTTTGTTGAATTGGAAGCTTATGATTGTGCCACTTTTGTGAAAAAGAATCAATGCAACCATCGATTATACTGTCAATTTCTGCAATAGACAGCTTTTTCATCTCTTTCTTTGAGGCGTCTATCTCCTTTTTTTCAAGTTCTATTTCCCTCCAGGTCTCAGAATCATAGCCATTTTCAGAATCTGATTCGCCATATAATGGCAAGCCTTGATCCTCACTAGCTGGGTACTTTGCGAGCAGATAATCCAATTCATCCCGTCCCTGGTTGAGTTGTGGCCAAGAAATTATGTCCTCCTTTGTGACTTTAACGGCCCCTTCATTCTGTGAGAATAGCGTGAAATATTGAGGTTCACCCTTAGGTATGATTTTGGCGCTATATGGAAATCTGGCAACGGCATCATTTCCGTCTTTAGTTTCTACTGCACGGGGTTCTTCTAGAAAGTAGTGCTGAACACGTTTATTCACAAAACGCTTCTGTCCAATTGGACATTTTGCCCCTTCAAGTACAAACGATTCGTCATCGCTATCTTCCATGTCATTGTAGAAGACGTCAGAGAGAGTTACCTTTTTTGGTCCAATATACTGGCAAGGCTGCTTGAATCCAGGTTTCTCCTGCCGGGCGCCTGGACCAGAGGTCGTTGGTTTGCTGAGCGACAACTTGCGACGTTTACTGCCGCTACTATCAATAATATAATGTTCGTTCGGGCGAACCTTTGACGAAGAACTACCAGTGGGTAAAATGACCTCAAACTCACGTTGCTCCTCTGAAGTGTCATTCCTTTCCCGGACCCGAGCATTCGCATTGCCATGCGTTGAAGTTTTAGGGATAGCTGAAGGAGTATGGACCGGCGAAGGAAAGTTCAGCGGCACACTTGGGCTCTCCAGCGGCAAGACGAATCCGAGAGCATTCTGGGGTGTAGTTGCCGTAAGATGAGGATCGCCAACGCGAAATGGCTGAATGTGTTCAGCGTACCTTCGTGATCGCTGTTGCAAATATTGAACTGCCCGGAATATCGTAGAGCGCTGTCCAAGCGACCTCAACCCCAGATCTTGCGCCAGGGTCGCTTTATCTACCTCTGTCAATAGAACTTCTCCAGTAACATCATTCTCTCTGAGGGTAGCTTCGAGAGTTTTGGGATCTGGGCGAGGGAGTGAAGGACGAGCCCACGGTGCAGATGAATGACAGAGGTAATTAATAACTTGATCAATTGACCACTCAAAGGGATCATCATCTTCGAAAACTTCCATGGCGCGCTATTGCTCAGGATATCAGTGTTGAATCAACAAGAAATATTGAGAAGAAAAATCGAAAAGCTGGGCAAATGGAGGAAGAGAAGTTAAACAGTAAACTAACTCCTAGCGGAAAGAAAAAAGGAGTAAAAGAAGAAAAATAATAACAAAGAAGTATTATCCCATAAGAAGTAAAACCAATACAAGCTTTGGTTAAGCTGTATCAGAATGCAAGGAGAAGAAACCACATAGCAGCAAAAAGAAAGTGATAGAATGAAGCTCAAGACAAGGGCACACATTCTTAGGTAGTCAAGCGCTCAGAGCACAAGCCAACAATCAAGGTATCTTACTTCAAAAGAATGTCAGGAGTGAGTCAGGCAGTTAAAGGGACATTCACTCCATGGATGAACAGCAGCTAGCAACTAAGCCAAGCTAGTTGCCTTCAGTACTCTGTGATAGTTGGCAGTTGAGTTGATGCGGTTGAATGTTGAAGCCCGAGGTGTGGTAGTTTCTACAGCAGGAGTTAAACGTTTGGGAAAACAACTGTGGGCGGTGACGAGGAAAGTGGCAGGGGAATGTAGTGGGCAGAATACTGCTGCTCTGATTGGTCACACAATTTCCAACTAACTACTAACTAATTATAACTAGTTAGTTAGTTAGCTAACTATTAGTTAACTGTTAATATCCATTATCAGATCCTGGATGCCCCGCGATCCAGGGTAGATATCCAATCCCCACGTTCTGCTCCCTGCACTACAGAATTCATATTCACAGCGCCCTCCCTCATTTATTCCATGTTTGAATACAGACAGGCAGATAGTGCTCAACCTATTGTTTATTCATACTGCGCTCATTTCTCATCCAATGGACGATCCAGCCTATGCTAATTACCCCCCACCACTGACTGCGGAGCAGCATGATTACCTAGTTTCCGCTGTTAAAACATGGGCTTTGCATCATGGGCTCTGTGTCAAACCCTCTCCAGCCTTTATTGGGAGACATTTGGATACTCAAGGCGTCTTAGCAACCAATGCGCCAGTCACTCTTTTCCCGAGCCCTTTCCCCAGGGCTTGCTTTAATCATGCGACTACAATCCAGAGAGCATACAACGAGCTATACGCGAGAATAAGCACGGATGAATCATGGCTTGGGGAAATTATTGAAGAGTAAGACTTCTACTGCTTAATTCTGTAGCGATTAAGAAATAAAATTTGTAAAAGAGTTGTATTTTGCTTCTCTTCCTCTGCCATTAGATTTCTCATTTCGCATTTGTTATTCCTCTACGGTTATATGGTTACTGAGACATTGCGACAGACTTATTGACGTAGATGACTTCGTCGCAAATCTCTGGAAGGTCCACCTCAGCGTAAAAACTGAAGGATATGTCCAACCACTTTCCCTAGGTCTTTTCCGATCCGATTATATCGCCCATAGGCCCGCAGGCGCAATAGAATCATCTCTAAGACAGGTGGAATTCAACACCATTTCCTCCTCTTTTGGAGGACTCTCAGCTCTCGTAACCGCATTACACACGGATCTCTTGTCATCTCCACCAGGAAATCCTGTCACGTATCCGCCGCATCCAATTTTAAATGACCACAAACCGCCAGAGAATAGCGCCGTCACATCGTTAGCAAGCGGTTTCGCAGCCGCACACAAAGCATATGGCGCATCAAAATCGGAATCCCCACTACCCCTCTGTATTCTCTTCATCGTTCAAGCCGGCGAAAGAAACCTGTTTGACCAGCTAGAACTTTCCACCCAGCTCACAAATATCCACAAAATTCCCGTCTTCCGGCTTGTGACATCAGACATCCAAAAACTAACCTCCATCCCCGCTGCCAACCCCTCCAGGCCCCTGGTGTACAGCCCTCCCCATGCGCCATCCAACAAATTCGAAGTAACTACAGTATATCTGCGCAGCTTCTACGGGCCAGGCGACTACCCCAATGAATCAGCGTGGGCTGCGCGAACACACTTGGAGCGATCTGCCGCCATAAAATGCCCTTCAGTCCTCAGCCAGCTCTCCGGCTGCAAGAAGGTGCAACAAGTCCTTGCCGACCCCAACGCCCCCACCGACCATCTCACCCAATTCCTCCCAAACACCTCCTCTGAAATCATCAAAAAGATCCGTGCAACCTTTGCCCCGCAATATGACCTCTCGACATCTGGCCGCGGTCGCGAACTGGCCCTAGATCCCTCAACAGCTGCAAACCACGTCCTGAAGCCGCAGCGTGAGGGCGGCGGGAACAACATTTACCGTGATGCAATTCCGCAATTCCTGCGCTCCATGCCGGAGAAGGATTGGAAGGGGTGGATTCTTATGGAGCTGATTCAGCCACCTGATGCGGCGAAGAATATGATGCTTCGCAGTGATGGAGAAGTAATCAGCGGTCATGTTATTAGTGAGTTGGGCATATTTGGTGCGGTGCTTTGGAAGGATGATGGGGAAATCTTGCACAATGAGCAGGGTGGTTGGCTGTTGAGGACAAAGGGGAGGGAAAGTGATGAGGGGGGTGTTGCAGCAGGATTTTCGTCGTTGGATAGCCTTGTACTTCTTTGAAGTCATTGTCTATTCCTTCCCTATCCGAAAATAGATGATTGATGTGGAAGTTGTGGGTATACAAGGAGAGAAAGCGGATGTTTCTTTGATATAGACAATAAAGATATAATGCCCTCCTTTTTTCGGGCTTATTATGATTGACTTTCAGAAGTAGACTTCAGAATAATGAACAATGTGCTTGATTTAGATTATCAAAGCCCCATGCTAATAGAAATGAGAAAAGACTATGGTTCGAACCAAACTTGAAATTCAGATAGAACTACCCAAAATAAAAAGATAAGAAACACAAAAACAACATGTCTGGGTAATCGGGATCCTCCAGGTAGTGTGGGGAGCTCGAAAAGTCCTTAGGAAATCAATCCTGCTGGATTAAGTTCTGTCCGTTCATAGCGTTGCAGGAACCCCCCGGGAGCAAAACCAAAACAGAACTGATAACAGAACTGAAATTAAACTTGGGGGTCCATAGGAAACAGAAGTAGAATGCAGAGAGAAACAGAACCATGGGATGTATTGTGAACAAACATTTCATAATACGCGATAACTTCTGGTCCGTAGGAATATCCCTGGATGGACTATTCTAGTTGACAAAACATTCGAGGAGAAGAAAACTACCTTTGTCCAGTAGGAACAAAAGCTTAGCATTTTCAAGAAAAAAAATCCTTGGGTACTAGAAATAGCAGAATGCAGGAAGTATGTTGGGATATGTAAAAGTTCCCTTTGAGCAAGATTTTCCTGGTTTTGGACTACAAAAATAGAGAGAAGAAATATATCGGTACCACGACCGTCAGGCAAAGTCGAAGTTTCCAAGATTGTAAAATTCAGAATAAAAAAGAGCAGGCCAAACTGGAGTTTTATTAGAGATCTGATTGCTCCCCTAAATAAAGCTGACGGGAGAAGCCGACCTGGTTGCTCGAATTGATTTCCAGGAACGTGGGTAATGGGAGAGTAAGTCCAAAAAAGAAGAAAAGTTGGATGACAGCTGTCTTATTTCTTGAAAATAAGACCAAAGATTAGATATCCTTAATGAAATTCTCTGGGCCGCAATCCGCATGTTCCTATTCATACCAACTTGACTCCGCATTCACATTTCACTCTGCAAAAACTCTTCAAAAGAGCTAAATTGAGGGTTGTCTTCTCCTAGGCAGTCAAAGGGGTTATTGCGTTGCATGATAACGTCCATGTCAGTGTTCAGTCGATGATTCGGATTCTGGCGTATTGAAAATGGTCCAGAGCCGTTGAATCTGTGAAACCCTTCATCCGTCTGTCTTTGATTGATTAGAGTGGATGGGTTATCCCGAGTAGACGGGATATTCTGCCCAGGAGTATTTTGTTCAAATGGAATTTGCGATGAGCGAAGAACTTGCTGCGGTGTTGTTGATGGGTTCGACAGGAACTGAGTACTTGATAAGGTTGTGTGCATCATCGAGGGGGGCCATTGTTGTTGTTGTTGTTGTTGTTGTTGTTGTTGTTGTTGTTGTTGTTGTTGTTGTTGTTGTTGTTGTTGTTGCTGCTGTTGCTCCTGTTGCTGATTTATTAAACCCGTAGCATGCAGATTATAGCTTAATAAACTTATCGCGGTTGTCGGGAACGGTTGATGTAGGCGCTGGCCATGTCCTGGATGATAAGTATTTTGGTTCCAAGAGGCAGGCAGATTAGCCTGAGAGTTGAAATGATCGGTGGAGCCAACTTCGGTCCCCAATGATGGCAACCCGTTGTTCTTGGAACCACACCCGTATCCCGTTCCCGGAGTGACAAAGTTGCTTGGGAACCCCGGAGCAGTTGAAATCTCCAGGTCTCCAAATCCCATTCCTCCCCGGGAATTATTAGAAGAATTGAAACTGCTCGATATATTGGCTTGATCAGCCCAGGTAGTCTGATCACTTTGAGCGGTGGTCCCTTGGACAGCAGATTCCTGGAACGGACTGAGGAGTCTAGGAGGTCCAACTCTTTGGTTGCTGTCGTGTTGTTGAAGATCGTTGGAACCAACCAGATTTGAATTGTCCTGTTCACCCATTCCTTGCGTCTGTTGGGCTTCTGTTTCTGGAGGATAGTTGCTCGGTTCGGGAGCATCTCCTCGCCTCTCCCCTCGGGTTTCTCTAAACCAGGAAGGGGGTAGCATTTCCAAGGGCAGCTGGCGCCAGTCGTCGAATTTAGAGTTGGCAACTTTTTCTAAAAGTTGACCATGTACTGCCAGCGCCTCTGCCAGCCTAGTACTTGGGATGTGAAATTGTTGATCGACGAGAAAATAATCACATTGGTAGTATATTGGCGGTGCGTCAGCTAGGTTTTTGGCTCGAAGGCACATTGGCTCAGCTCTACGCCCATTTATTGGTTGATCAAAGTAAACCACGTCCATTGTCGTATTGAATGACACCTGCAGAAATAGGTGGTCAAAAAGCAGACGGACATACATAAGCAATCTAGAGTAGAGGGCAGAGGCTTACCTGGTCCTGGCTCAACTTGTCTACCCGTTCTATCTCCGTCCTTGTCACTCCACCGCGCCGGTTTGTCCAACATGACAGACCAAGAGGCGCACGAGCTTCCCGTTCCCGCCGCATATTGAGCGAATTGTCACTTGGAAGAATGGCCTTCGCGACTGTCATTCGAGCCTTGATGTCCCGATATGTCAATCGGGAGTCCAATCTCATCCAGTACTCAAGCTGCCAGCCCATCGGGCGCGCTGATATATAGCGCGGCAGAAACGGAAAGGCACGAATTACTGCCCCATCGTAATCCTTCACCTCCTGACCATTCTCAATCATATTGGGAATTGGTGATGTCGGACGCTGATTCGGAGGATCCAGCTGGAACAACAGGGGAGGGAGACTGCCGTTGTCATAATCGCAATTTGCAGGGTGGTAACAAGTATGATTGGCATGTGGAGGATATGTGTCTATATATATACAGAAGTATTAGGGATAAAGTTTAGAGAAAGGAAAGAGAAAAAAATTCACTCACGGTAGCAGTGTAACACTGGAGATGCAGGGGCTGTTATCATATTAGCACATGCATAAAAATATGAGAAAGATATCAACAAACCTGGGATTACAGCTGGAATTGAGGTTAACTGATTTTGTTCTGATTCAGCCATCCTTCCTTTCATAATCTTAGGACAGCTTTAAACTCATGAAAAGATTATGCAATAAGCAGTCTATCTCTGATTGTTTGTATGTATGTCGTGATGATCAAACAGAGAGAATGTTACAAGGTGTTGGATTAGCATCAATAGTAAGAAATCTGAATCCAACAGGTGTTATAAACATCAGTTTGTATAGAGAAACTTCTTGTAGGTGGAAAAAAGTCAGGTGATAGCAAAACTGCTGCAGAGAAAAGGCTGTTGAGCCAGATAGAAAGTAGGGAGAACGAACAAGAGTGTTGATCGTGAGATGAGAAGAGCTTGAAGAGAAAAGGACGGAAAGGAGAAGATAAACACAAGTATACGGCAGACATCGAAACTCCTAATCCGCAGCGGCGGGTTACGAAAATTCACCGACCGTATTGCACAAAGAAGCAGAAGCATTAAGGAAACAACGAAAGGCAACAAGGGTGAAAATATACTAGATACCCCACTCTCTAATCGAAGAAACCCCGAGGAGCAAGTTGGGCAAAAGCAGGAGAGTAGCTGGTATATGCAGGGACATCGAATCAACTATTCGTTCACAATATGCATTATGTCGATAGCCAGCCTCTCATCGCCTCCTATATTCTATCCCCATAGTTCCTCACTATCTGAGTAGGGGCATTACTGTGGAATAGAATGTAGGTTACCGGATAATCTTCCTCACCCCTTCAAAGGGCGGTAACTCCCGTATGGTAAAGAAAATTCTTGGTGTCATAAAGAGCGCAGGCACACCCATGTACCACTTCGATAGGCACGAAAAAGAATTTAATGTTTTTGAACCCAGCCGAATTAGTCTTCATTCTGCGATTATGCTGGCTCAATCAACTTACAAACTGAAAGATATTGGCCGGAGTCTAAGACGTGAACTTCTGCACTCCTCACTGCCCCGTCCACCCCATGAACTTCAAAAAAATGGCCATGGAGTTAGAGCCTCAAGGCAAATACATGTAATTGTGTCATAAACTTATATCGGCCATATTCTCACCATCAATGTCCTATAACGGATGCAGTGAACAGATTTTGACAGGGCCGTCGATATTGTATGACGTTGGATGCGACTCACCACGAGGAACCTTGGGATCAACCGAGGAACCCGCAACCTTAACCTTATTTCAACGACACCTAAACCATCAACCTCTCCTCAATCCCACGATCCTGACAACACGTAAAGAGTCCACAACTCCTAATTTCAAGTGTTCTTACGCTGTAAAATAGGAACCAGTATCCCTGGTTTAATATCAATAATTTTTAATAGTCGGCAGCTTGTGGTACCACCAAAGTCTCCAATGTTTTGAGAACCAGCGCCCCCCTGAATTCTTGCTCACCCAGACTTTCTGTGGTCATGTTCAGCAAGGAACATTAAATTATGTCAAGGACCCAAACCATCTGCAGTGAAAGCGTTTCACGATTTGCTATCCTGTGAACTGGATATCCCCAGTCAGCTCCATCTTAACCATTTGTGAGTCGGCTCAGTTGGGAGCCAACGGCATAATGTTCCAAGAAATAACCAACTACTTCAATATTAAAGTCATCTCAATTCTCAAAGGTTTGAATACATGAACTGAACATTTGTGAAAACGGATTTACATTGCTATGAAATAAGCCACCTAACAGCACTGACACATTTTTGTATCAACTACAGAAGGTAGGTACATAAAATCTACGATCATGACCAACAGAAACAAGGTCAAATCTGAATCACATCCTTTCTTCCCCCCCCCCCCCCCCCAAAAAAAAAAAAAAAAGGAAAAAGAAAAAAAAGCCAAGTGACACAAACTAGGTACACAGGATTATAAAGCTACGCATCCGTCACCAACACATACCTCACAATGCAGCGATTCCATTCGAGACCGGCAAAAAGCACAATAATTTGAGAACAGGACCATTGGTCTAAATTGTCCAACCGTCCTAGAAGGTATTTTCCTCATGAAAGCCCTCCAGCTGCTTGCAATACTCAAGGTCGAGGTCATATTCCCGATGATATTTTAATCCTCTTAGCATCATCTCATACACAATCGGACTTTCACTTTTTTCATTGAAACTCAGATGAGGGGTACGGGGTGGGCCAGCAAGGGAAGGAAATAACTCCCAACCCACATTATCAAATCCTCCCTCCATATCAAATTTACCCTCGAAATATATGATGTATTTATCCACTCGAGAATTGGCGGCCTCAATTTTTCGCATCGCCTCAGACATCTCAAGGTACCATAGGTAGTTGACGTCCATATTCCACGGATTCCATGGACAAGGCAAAGAGGGAACAAGGATTGGTGTTGTCTGCTCTTCTTTTATAGCCTCTTTAGTTTCGGCTTCATTTGCTGTGGCTTCTTTGAATTCAGCTTTCTTGGCTTTGGCTTTTTTGACTCTGGCTTTTTCGAGTCCGGCTTTTTCGAATCTGATGTTTTTGGGTATGGTGCCTTTGCCTCTGGCTTGCTTTAGTCTGGTTTCCTTTGGTCTATCTTTGAAACTGACATCCTCGGGTCTGCCGTTTTCCAATCTGTCTTTTTCAGATCTCTTTTCTCCTGCTAACTCTTCTAGTAGGTTTTCTGCAGCTGGCTCTCTACCATTGGCTGTTTGGCAGTGAGAATCTTCGCCCAGTAATACAATAAGAGGCACGTTAAGAGCTTCAAGAACCCCGGCCTCTGCACAAGCCTCATTTTCTTTTTCAGCCTGTACGTGACTCTCTTGACCTTCTCCGGATCCTTCATTACCATCCTCAGATGCGTCTGTCATTCCCGTATCATCTTGTTTTTGAACAACATTCGGCATATTCTGGCTACCACCACTAAGTGTTCTATTGACGCTGTTCTCGAAGATGATGTGACCCTCGTGCATTGGCTTCTGAGAAATGTTTGTACGAGCATAGTCCTCATCAAACACATTAATCACGATATAGCTTGTTTCTCTAGAAAGCATATCATGGTTATATTCATTTCCGTGTTGATTGACTTGGGGTTCTTCTCTTGGATAAGGCAGCTGTTGGATCGCGTTATGGAGTTGCTCGTTAGTCGTCTCTGGCGCGGTATCATCAATCGTTGCAGAATATTGATCATAGGACGTATCAGGGTGCTGACTATGAGACACTGGGGAATGTAGGCCATCAGGCATACCTGAGAGCTGGTTATGGGTAACTGCAATCTGTTGCCCATAGCGCATATCTTGGAGCTGGGCATAGGCAGTTATTGCAGGCTGTTGATTATAGGACATATCAGGAAGCTTACGATGATTCATTGCAGGATGTTTATCATAAGGCATTTCATGAGGCTGGTTATGGGCCATTGTAGGCTGTGAACCATAGCCCAGTTGTCGGAGCACGTCCCCAAGTTGCTCATCAGTCATTTCAAAGGGTTGATAGTCGAGTGTTGCAGGCTGTTGATTATACGGCATATCAGAAAGATGGATATGAGTTACTGGAGGTGGTTGTTGGCCATAATGCACCCCTGACAGCTGGCTATTGGCGATTGAAAGCTGTTGATCATAGTGCGCTGTTGGGGGCTGGTTATGGATCGCTGTGAGCTGGTGGCCATAGGGCATTCCTTGGAACTGGTTATGGTTCAGAGTGGAGTGTTGAACATGGCTTTCGTAGACGGCCTGTCCTAGATATTGAAGTTGCTCTGGCGAATATGTTTGAGGTGTTAGTGCCATAGAAGGCTGCGTCATGATGGAATTGTTCATCCCCATTTCCTGCTCTCTTGGTCGAAGCTGTGCCATCATGCCGTTTTGCTCCATGGTTGCCAATTGTTCAATCAGTTGTTGCTGTTCTATAGCGAAAGTACGTAGGCGTTGACCATATGCCTCGGGAACGGGGATTCTCCCGCCAGCTTCACCCAGAGCTGGATTGATTAGTCCAGGCGTCAACCCACGAGTCGAATTCGCTGCCGGATCAATGCCTTTCTTTCGCAATTTCCGGTCGATTTCTGCCGCAGTCTCCTGGGTTTTTTTATTTCCAGTTCCCCAGGACAAAATGTGGAATGCCTGGCGAAATCTGACGCTACGCTGTTGCAGTGCATTGTTGGATATGCGCAACTTTGGGTTCATACGTTTGGTGATATCTTCCAGGAGGATCCGCCTATCAAGGCGCATCCATGCCTCAACTCGAAATTCTTCAACATTCGTAGAAATTCTGTCTGGCAGAATATCCAGGGCGCGCAGGTTCGATTCCCCTTCCCAGAGCGATGGCTTTGTGGGTAGTTGGATATGTGTTCTCACTTGGGGAGCGGTCGGTCTGAAAACGTATAGGATGCCGGGAAGGTTGTCAACAGACCATTCCGTCTGACCAGGCATAGGGTCGGTGATGTTGTGCACATCGGATCGTGCAGCAGCACTGTGCTGGCGTGGTACTAAATCAAACTGTCAGACTTTCCTGTGCAAAACACATGTATCAGAGAACTCACCTTTGGGTTTTGACGCCATTTTCTTTTCGTTACCGTCGACCAGCGGCGGTCACTCGTTGTTCTATTAATTGGTAAATGGGATTCAAGACCTGCTTGCTGGTCCACAATTGCTGATATGAAATTGAGAGCGGTAAATGCGGAGGGTCTATCTTGAAGCCCCGCTTCAAGATTAAGGGGTTTTGAGTGGAAAGAATACCAGATTCTTCTTATCTAAACGGGGAAAAAAGAGGTTCTTGCCAGCAAGGAGAAAGAAAGAAAAGGAATTGAACGGACTTCGAACTGGCGATAGAAAGATATGTTCAAGAAAAGAATGAAAGGGATGTAGAAGGGATGAGAAAAGAAAAAGAGATTTCTTTTCTCAGACGAAAGTGGACGACATGCGAGCCTCAGCCCCCTTACAATGGATCAGTGAAGATGGCTCAATACATAGGTGACGTAGCATTTTGGATAGGATATTGACCCCTTTAGGACTATATTCACAGGCATAGGTGGTTCTAGATGCCGTGTGGGTGAAGAACACAGCATCTAGATTCACTACACTCTCGACCAAAACTCGATCCAACTGAAAGGCATTGCTAAGCATTGCTAATAAACACGGAAATGCATAGGAAATTCATTCCATTAGTAGTAGCCGTACATTAGTCATAGCTGTAGCATTTCAGCAAATTTCATGAAAGATATCAACTTTAACGACCTGATGTGCTGCAATAAGGGAAATCGAACCCCCTTTTCCCAGGAAGGAACCTTTGCCACTCCCTCATTCAACGTCCCAAAAAAAAGCGTAACCTCGGAACCAGTGTTACTACCGTAAAAGCCATAATGTCATGCCGTTTCACTTCTTTCATATCGTTTTCTTATGAATGACGCTGATGAATAGACGGACATGTCACTTCAAGCTGTGATGGTTTGGTCGCTTATCGCGGTTAATGTGGGTTCAGAGCTTCGTAGACCAGTCTAGATGGGAGGCTGGGCGTTTCACTGTATCTCCATGGATTATACCCCCCCATCCAGAAAGCCCCAATGCTCCAATTGAATACTTGTCCCACACCAGTTATCGCTGGCTCTTACCTACAGGTAACTCGGGATACCTACAGAAATAAATGACAACTGCGCCAGGGCAAGGAGCTACAATGGCCACCAAGGAACCTCCCGCTAAACCATCGGAAACCTTGATCCCTTCCAAAAGGAAAACCACCGACAGTTCTACCTCTGACAACGGCCTCCCCATAAATTTCACATCCCGCAAACCTCCCTGGTCCTATCTCAAGCTTCAGTTGTATGTAAAATTCACAACCTCGCCCACCCCCAAGTTGCCTCATGGGGGGGGGGGGGGGGGGAACTAAATAAAAATATCACCAACACTAATCCCGCACAGGATCACTCAGCCCTCTCTCCCATCATCCTCACCCTCAACCCCCCTAGACGAAATAACAGCACGCACGTACCTAACCACCGCTCTCTCCCAATTCCTCGGCATCTCCGGCACATCCATCTCAATCGACATCCTTAAAATCGAAAACTCCACCGACAATCACTCCACAGGACAAGAAAATAATAATAACATAGTATGGATTCGCGTCCCCCGCGACGACGTAGCGGCTGTGGTAGCCGCTGTTAGTTCGTGGATTGGAGACGGGAGTCAGGTTGGGAGTAGCGTTTCTTGGAGAATTCGGGCGAAGGGTAGTTTCCTGGGTGCGTTGATAGGTGGGACGGGGAGGGAATTGTTTGCGCCTTGAGGGGCAAGGGGATGGTGGTTATTTCCCCCCCCCCCCCCCGGGGGAAAAAAAAAAAAAAAAAAACGTTTTTTTCAGAGGTGAGTTGTTTGAGTATGTGAGGCGTGTAAGTAAAAAAAAGGAATGTAGATTTGAAGATTCGATTTGTAGGATGTCGTGGTTACTACGTCTTTTGTCGAGTGATTTAGATTCTGTATAAAAAGTTGCGCGAACGAATCTACGGACGAAAGTGGTGAGCCCGTGGGATGATTGTAGGATGTAGGATAGATTTATGATGTGTGGGACTAGTAGTCGTGGATAGTAAGGGATAAAAAAAGAGACGATTGTAGAACAGACGTCTCTGTAGGACGTGTGCAAGCGAAGAATTGCGTCCGATTGGTGAAGACTCGTACCGGCAGTAGGACGAGGGAGAAGCTTATACGGTACGGTTGCATAGATTTTCGTGATTGACGAGTAGGAAGGGATACCAGTGACGGAAAAGGTACGGAGG